ATGTACACTTTCTAAAGCCCAGACCTCAACATCTTACTCAATGCATTATGATTAAAACCAATTTTCAGGACCCCTTACATCATTTGTGGGTTTGAGATTATAAGCATTAATTGACTTGTCATTTTTCATTGAATGAGGTGATGATTGATCATTATGTTTATCATGAGTGGGCATTTGTCTTCTGAATCTCTATTACTAGCAAATCTTAAAAGTTTAGATTGATTGTGTTTTACCGTTCTTCTGGATATTTAAAATGATTATGAGATAACATTGAGGGTATGAACTTTTGTACCAACGTTTATCAATGGAGACAAAAGAAGGTGCAATACATGTTTCATTCTGGTAGGAGGTTGCGTTCTATATATACTTCAATAATGTCTAAGAGATTAGAATTGTGTTACGATCCAATTATAAAGTATGTGACTTGAAGTGATGTGAGATTTTTATGGACTCTGAATTTTCTACCTTAATATAGCTAGTGTTTGGAATAAAGGCCACTCATATCAATTGATACCAGAGCTTCCACTATATCTTTCATGCACAAGTTAAATTCTCATTCAACTGGAAAATTCAAAGCACGTGTTCTGCCAAATGTTATATTTGATTTGGTTTATTCTCAAAAACAATTAATGAAGGAAACTAGAGAAATCCAATAATTGAAAGTGGTGGATATGTAATTTATTTGAACTATAACTTTTCAGGAGTGACGTAGGAATAGGACAAAGTGGGGGCCTTTGATTGAGAAATAATGGAAAATAGATGACATGATATGATGGTATTGGTGGGTGAACTTCAATGAAGAAGCTCTTGCTCTGGCTCGTGTTCAGAAGTTTTTTCTAAGGTTCAAGAGGAAGGTCCAACTCAAATCGATGACAACGCAGTAGGCATTGACCGATTAGAATGAATGGAGTTGGTTCAAGTGATATATATTTGATTTTGTTTAAGTAAGATTTTGGCTTCAAATTTTTATAAATGCTAATGACATCCATTATGGTCCTGGAGTAATTACTGTCATGACATTTGTTTGTTTCAATATGACTGTCATGACATTTCTTTTCATTCGTTGCAGTTGGCTATATTCTGGACATGCATGTGATGCACAAAAATATTTAACTGACATATGTATTTTTAACTGAGTACTACATTTATTCTTGTTGAACAAACTGGACAGCAAGCAATATCTGATGTAATGCAGGTCTGTTTTGTTGATTTCGACTGCACATCAACAGCATACAAGTATGTGTGTATTATTCTCTGCCTATACAGGGTTCATGAATGTTCCAACAATGCAGTGTTCCAGCTGTTCTGTTTTATGTTTTTTAAACCCTGAGTTATGAAAGTGTAGTTCTTGGACCTCCAAGTCATGTGTTATGCACTTTTGTTTTGTAATCTCGGACTGCAAGTGTTTCAATCCCTCATGTCCTATTTTTCTCTGGTCAGGGACCAATAAGGGCCCCGAGCTGTTTGTCAGGGACTAAAATGGCCCTCGTGTAGTTTGACAGGGACCAAATTGGCCCTCGTGTTTTGGAATGATTAACAAATGTGCATAACAATATGGAACTTCTGTATCAGCTTATGCATCTATATCTGTACATGGATGGTTTGTGATACAATGTAGCAAACTAGCATCCAGTACTGCAGTAGTTGTTACACAAAAATATGATACTATACACAAACAGATTCTAACCAGATTCAAACCAGATACAATCTAGCATCCAGTACTGCAGTAGTTGATACACAAATATATTATACTATACACAAACAGATTCAAACCAACACAGAATGCTCCATATAATACAACATTCTTCATTAATTGGTATAACAACAGAACTGATAACTCATTACACATCATTGAAGGAAAAATACATTGAGGTAACTTCTTTTGACTGTTACCACACTAACAAAAAACATACACAAGATAAACAAACCAACACAAACATCATCTAAGACCCTAGCTTTCCTACCAACATTTCTAACTTGGTTGTCTATCCTATCTAACTCCTCCACCATCTTCAGGTATACATCATTCAGTTTTCTTTCCTACCAACAAATGTCACGACAGTCATATTGAAACAAACAATCATCAACGTCCACAGGTTTTGGGGGCTTATTTCATGTTTAGGGTTAGCTTCATCAATTCGGGGGGTTTTTGTCTGTTGAAGGTTCGATTCAGCATTTTGGGGATTTTATTTTGTAGGGTTCATCATCAACCAAGAAACGACGTCGTGATCTACTTTCCAAAGTTGGGAACCCATTTGCACAAAAGGTCGTCGTTTGCCCATCCACGGTGTCAACCGTCCAAGCCCCGTCATCACACTAACGTGCCACATGGGCACCGTTAGTTTGACCGTGACAGAGGAGTTGACAGAAGGACTAACGTGGCCCCTTTTTTTTGTAATTTTAGGGACCAATTTGGTTCTTTTTTATTGCGAGGGACTAAAATGGATTTCGTGGATATTGCCAGGGACCAAAAAAGGGTGTTTACTCTTATTTCTCCTATCACATAAGATAAAGTTATCTTCTGAAAATTCAAAACTACGTCATTTTGAGGATCAGGGAAATTAATGAAGCATATTTTGGTAAAATTTATATAATAAAGAAACAAATAAAACTACTCCCTTCATCAAATTTTGGGGTTGCGGGAGATAATTTATCTCATGTGACAGGAGAAACAACAAATCCTATATATATATATATATATATATATATATATATATATATATATATATATATCATGATGTGTGCAATAATAATTCTACTGGCCAGAGAACAATATATGGATTACGCAAGAAAACACCGTCTTGCAATATACCAGTATAAAGAAACATCGTCTTATATTGAGCATAAGGAAACATCATCTTATGCCTCACACCAGCAAACACCGTCTTGTGTGGCACACAAACAAACAAACATATGAATGCATTATATCATAACTCAGTTTCCAAAAACATACCATGTATATAAATCATCTTCCCTCGAAGTCTGGTGGATCAAATAGGGGATTAACCCCAAGGACCGAAAGCTTACCTTTCGAAGCAATATCCTCCAATGTACTACTTTTATCCAAGGGTCAAAACCATAAACTTTCTCAATATCACAACCTATTTCAAAGATATGAAGACAATCAGTATATGTTCTAGACTACCATATTCAATTTAGCGTTATCATTTGCCTGTTTATAACACTTTAGGCTTTTTCCAACAAACATAAGCAACGAATAATTAAGTGGAGACTTAAGCCATAGTTGGATGACTATAATTGACCCATTTAAGCCCTGTTCTGAGTATTAGAACATTTTTGCATAGGAAAACATCATTTTTCCAAAAACATGGCAATATCCGAATATTCTTCAGGGACATATCCGGATATGCTATATCCGAATATTTCGCGACAGATGGTCAAAATAGCAGCCAACACGAAATGATGCCCAATTTACATCAAAATACAACTCTCTCAATATCCTCGCATACATTTCTACCCATGGGTTTATACTCAAATGCACAAATCATGAAACCCCTAATTTTCCATAATCTAACTCGTGTTATTTTCATGAAATCCAACAAAGAGGTCATGATATTTACCTTGAGAGCTTCAACAACCAAGAAAGAAAGGTCCTCCTTTAATAAATAATTATAAAAACATAGTTGTTTTGAATTAATTTACGGATTTATTGCACTCATTCGCGCCCAATTTGGGTGTGACCATTCACGAGGCATTCTCGCCTAAGTTAGGTGTGACTTGTCTGGTATTGACACGTGGCACAAAAAAGTCAACAGTTTAACCGTAAAACTTTGGAAGGCTATAACTTTTGACTCGGGTGTCTGAATCAGAATTTTTTTTAATTCTATCTAACTTTTAGAGATCTATGCAATGACACTTCATTTGGCATATTTTATCTCTCACAAACACAGTTCAAATTTTCAACAATGATACTATAATAGCATTTAAACCCAGAAGCCTCCGAGTTCATTCCGAATAAACACAAAATACAGTTTTCTGCCTACTAGAATCTCCCTATCTCTATCCTATGGGTTGTATTTTTATTACTGTGAATTGAGATCTTATCTTATAAGTCGTGGTCCGAAAATAAAGATGACACCAAAGTGGGTTAGTCCATCTATAAATAAGGATATTTAATGTGATAGTAAAATATATATTTTTTACCAAGTGTTTGGACAAAAAAAATAGTGTATAATATTATGAGAAAAGAAAGTGCCATAATATAAAAGTGTGAGAGAGATTGGCGAGAATTCTCTATGTGTGTGTGTTTTTTTTCATACATGAATTCTATGTTTTTTAAGTTGCATTAAAAAATACAAAACTTTTGATGTATTGTATTAAAAATATATAAAAGTTTCTCTCCATATTCTGTTTCTCTTAATTTCTAACATTATGTAATTTCATGACTACACTAGTGGATTGAAATGCTCTCGAAATACCAATGTTGCAAATTCGAATTATATTTGTGAGTGATAAAATATGTCGAATGAGGTGTCATTGCGTAGATCTCAAAAAATTATATAGAATAAAAAAAAATATTGATTCAGACACCCGAGTCAAAAGTTAAGACCTTCCACAATTTTACAGTTAAACTATTAATTTTTTTGGACCACGTGTCAACACCATATGAGTTACGCCTAACTTAGACACAAAAATCTCGTAATTCGCACTTAACTTAGGCATGAATGATCACGCCTAAATTGATTGTAAATAAATATAATAAATCCGTAAATTGATTCAAAACAATTATATTTTCATAATTATTTATTAAAACAAAAATATTTTAATTTCCACCCCCCCTAAAAACTTGAGTAAACTCACAAATTTGTCTTCGAAAAATTGACGGCAAACACATTAGCTCTAAGAATACAAAAATTTCACCTTATTCTACAAAAACCAAAAATGTTGATTATATTAATAGCAATGCTTTTTTCATGTTACATGAATTTAATATAACCATAGCCAAAATACAAAAATTTCACCTTATTCTACAAAAACCAAAAATGTTAATTATATTAATAGCAATGCTTTTTTCATGTTACATGAATTTAATATAACCATAGCCAAACTTCTAGGTATCATACAACTAAAGGCTAAATGCTCAGTAAATCACGTACAACCTATTAGAAGTTATATAAAATCATGTCGTCCAGTGCCTTACAAGTTATGCATCACCAGCAATAAAAGGTAGGGAAAAAATGGAATTTTTTATCAAAGTCAATAACGAACACAATTAAGCAGCTTTACTCCTCTTTGATGGTGCTAAAATAAATTCATCATCAGAGTAATCCTCAGAGCTTATATCCGCAGATTTTCGCTTCTTGGACAGCTTTGATGTGGCGTTAGTTATCTTCGTTTTAACAGAAGATACTGGGGAGGTTCGGCTTTTCTTCTTAACTGTAACAGACTTTGTGCTGCTCTTCATAGCAGTTGCAGCCTTAACGGGAGAAGTGAGCTTCTGCTGCAGACCTTTCTTTTGTTTCTGCTGATATATTTTCATCGCCACCTCTTTAGGAAGCAACCCCGATTCCATCAACCTGCAATTACATTCAGTAACGAAAATAAACAATCTTCTACGCTTTGTTAACTTATAGGGGGAACCCTGTATTGGTTGCAAGTTAGCAGCTACAAAGCATGAAATTATTCTGACATAAAGACATGAAAGCAGCAAAAGTAACACTATTCTGATGCACCCAACAGCGATAAAAGGATAAGCATGATTTGACAAAATACTTGATACAATAACTGATGGCAGATCTAGCACTTTGATAATGACAAATGACAGCAAAACGAGCACACTGCAAACCCAATGTAGATAGCAAGGACGGATAGGGTCTTATGAGAAGGTTTGAAAATGGAGCTTTTCCTGCATTAAGTTAAAATCTACAAGTATAAAATATACCATTTCAATTTAGTACCCCTACAAATGCACATGGTCAGATATAGTGGTGGCATACAATTTACAACCGTTTAGCTCGGATTTGAAAGGGAAGTGTATGTTTATAAATTATTATGATTGAGAATAAATATCATCTAAGAAGGGGGAAAGAAAAACCTCAATTATCTTTCATAATTCATCATGATTGAACTTTGTTTTTGAGCCAACAAATGCTCCTTTGCCCCACCACTCTTATTTTGTTTTAAGGTTGGGAATCAAAGTTTGTCCATCTCAATCATCCTTTGAGAGAGATGAAAGATTAGTCAATCACAAGTTGAAAAAAAAAAAAAAAAACCTACTCAAGCCTTTAAAAGGGCTTCTGGTTTGCCAAAACGGAAGTCATCACTCATGCACCATAAAGTGAAAATAGCATCCTTGCTAGGAAAATACTAGCATGCAAAACCTTTGCTTTAGCATGGACAATTTGATATGTTGATAGGCCTAGCTTGATGTGTTTTAAAAGCTGGAAAAGTACTATACAGCCAAATGCTCACATCAACCTGGAAAAGTACTATACAGACAATTTGATATGTTGATAGACCTTGAGTCGAATTGATCGTGTCATGTGCAACGTCCGTACCCACTCGTAGCTCCTAGCTCTTAACTCTCGCTCTTACGCTTATTGCCCCCTTCCTCAGTGAGAGGGCTCCTCACCGTATGACTTCCCAAGGATCCCTCTCCCTTCAGTCGTGGGCTTGTTCGTCTTACTGTGGGTGTTCCGCTTCCTCCCTTTTGGGAGTCCGGAAGGGTTCACCCCTAAGTAAGTATAGAAACCCCTCGCTCCAAGCTCTAGGTAAAACACAAAACATAAGAGCATTCTATATTACCGGTACAAAGTCCACATGATCTGATATCTAGCCTTATTGCATATCACAAAAACCAATGCTGACACTTCATAGGGGATTTAGCTTACTGAGACCCTAAATAAATTTAATGTTTTAGAAGGTTGAAAAATATTCCAAATATGCTTTGTGGCAAAAGATTTTTAATGACAATGTGGTGAGTACAAAGCGAACTATTCTTTTGCCTTTTACTAAAGAATGCAAATTGTTCTGTGATTTACAGTTGACTTGTCATTCATCTCTACGCTCATTCCACACTCAAAGGCATAACAAGTCTATTTATAGTGTTTCACAGGCTCTTGTAAGTGGTAATGCAATATCATGCTCACCTCACCTCCCCGGTGATAGTCTTCTTGTTGGGGAGATCAAGTCGAGCATTTAAGCTAAATTTTTTGTTCCCAAATATTGCTAAACAGGATACTAAAAAAAAAAAAAGAACTAACAAAGGAGAAAGAAAACATTAAGCGAACTTATTTTGAGGACAAAAATGATTTTAGGTAGTAACATAACAATAGCTCCCTTAATAAATCATAATCTTCTTTCTTCTTTCTTCATTATAAGCTTGTAAATTGAAAAACTCACCAGATTTGTGACATCTCGCTATGGGGAACTTGCTTATATAAAGTCTCGTAGAAAATCCTCAGAGGGTCTTTCTGAAAAATATGAAAAGGTACAAACTGATTACTCAAAACATAAAAAGACCGAGAAACATGAAAAACAATATTCAACAGTAGCATGTGCATACCTCCTCAGGTGGATCTCGTTTCTGGCCAGGTAAATCATAAACCTTCCTTTCTCTCTTCTTCTGCTCTACCTTCTTCTTTTCTTCCTCCTTTATATTCTTCTTTTTATTAACATCCTTCACCCCTCAACCCAAACGCATAAAACACAGTATGTTTTATAATATAAACCTTTGAAAACACAGAAAAAAAAATAGAAAACAGAACATCCATTCCATAAAGGCAAGTTTTTTTTTTCCTTTGAAAAATAGAAAATTAGGTCCAAGAAACCTTAGAGTTGGAGGTCCTTTTGGCGAGGGGCTTGTCATCATCATCGTCGTCCTCGTTATATTCCTTCTTGAATTTCGGTTCCTTGGAGCGAGACCCTGCAGTATTAGGCTCTTCTTTCTTGAATTTTGCAACCTTGGACTGAGGTTTAACGTTGGAGCTTGTCCCCTTTCTGGAAACGGAACTCTTGTTGTTTTCCTCCACTCTTTTCACGGGCTTTGAATCTTCCGAAGGCATTTCTCAGTGCTGCAATGCAATAGGAAGGGGAGGGACTGTGAACTGGAGAGTTGCAGTGTTACCCTTTCCCTCTCCTTTCACGGAAAAGGAGAAGCTCTGGTTTTTGGATTTTGGGGTTTCAAAATCAAAAACTTTGCGTTTTGGTTATGTTCTCGTATCCGGAACACAAAATTATTGGGCTGGGCCCGTAAGAAAGGGCATTCTTTTGACTGCAAGTGACCCATCACTCTTGTCCATACCTGGATTCAAAATTGTTGGGTCGATATTTGTTAGAAGAATTAAAATGTCGGAATAATGAGGATTGGATTGAACGAAGATATAAAGAGGTAGGATATTCTAACTACTTATTTTTTCTACTACCACTCCACTACTACTCTAATCACCACTTGATTAAAGGAAAAGTTGAATGAAGAGAGAGAAAAAAAAAATAACTTTTAAATCCAATGGTAATTAAAGTGGTAGTGGAGTGGTAGTAGAAAAATAGGTAGTAGGAATATCCTACCTCATATGTAAGAGATATTTTGATTCCTTTCATCTTTCTATCCTACGTAGCCAAATCTGTTTTTAATTAAAAAAAATTAACGAAATTTATTTTTATTTAGAAAAATATTTTTTAACCAAATCCTTTTGTTTAGAAAAATATTTTTCAAATTATTTTTAATCCAGGCAAGATTAAATTAGAAAAGAAAGTATTATTTTTTAACCAAAAAAAAAAATTGGTTTTTTTTTGTGTGTTTGGAGAAAATACAATAGCTTTGGTATTATTATAAAGGGATCTTTCATATAAAAAAACACGGGATATGATATTATGACAACCAAATAATGTTACTACCACATCTTAACCGTTGATTTCCGTCAATCAACGATTATCATTTATTGCGAATTAATAATTAATTAATGAGTTTAATTTGAAAAATGATAACCGTTGATTGACGAAAATCAACGGTTAAGATGTGATAGTAACATTGGTAGTAACATTATTTGGTTGTCACACTATCCTATCCAAAAAACAGGAAGAAAAACTTTGAAGAAGAGACAATATAAGGAATCAAAGACAGGTACTAGAGGGAAACTCTGTACATATTTATTTATTGATTAGAAGTATGTAAGGTAATTTTATTATTCATTGGTGATTTTGTTTTTAGCTATTGCTAGAGTAGGCAACAAGGAAGTAATTATCTAATGATCATTGAGCTTGAATCATTATAATAAATCTGTCTCTCAATTAGATAGAAATGAACTTATCGGGGTTGTATTTTTTATTTTTATTTTTGAAAACTTTCCTATGTAATTATAGTGTTATCTTTATATTATTTTTTTATTGGTCAAAGTTATTGTCAATTGAAAAAATTTATAAACTCAATCTTCCTCCTCTTGAGTTCATGTGGCACCAACAAAAATCATTCACGGCGATTCTCTTTAATGTTCCAAAATTTTCATATATGTCATTATTGTTGTAAAATAAAAGGTAGGAGAAAGAAATATAGACAAGAGACCACTAGGGTTAGCCTAGTGGTGTGAGGTGTGTGTTAGGAGTGTGTGTAATGTAAGGTGTTGTGTTCAATTCCTTGTAACCTTCAAAAAAAAAAAATTATAGACAAGAGATAAAGGTAGAAGAATATATTCTCGTATTGTATTGTGTATTACAAGGCTACATATGAATACATTTGAGCTCTATTTATAGGTCCCTAATTAGTTACAATATATGATAGAAATGAATCCCAGTAATTGCATATATTTAACAAATAGAGGTTACAAAAGTTACAGAATTTGGGAGTTATGGACATTCACATTAATATTGTTTATAACAATTATGTATTTTTGTTTTCATGAAAATGACACAACAGATTGGTAACACTCTTTGTGTTTTAATGCTAGAATATGCCCGAGTAGTGTACATCCAAACCACATAGCAATACCTACTTAACTTAAAATTTGTTATTGTTTTGCCTGTGTGACAGAGGTGTCTAGCCGTTGGCTAGTGATTTTATGTTGGATCTGGTGTTTTTTTTAGATACCTATGAACTAGGTATATTGGGGTAGCAAATCACGACACACAACGTTAAGACCTTAGTCAAGAGATAGGGATGGTGCGTGTGCGTTGTGTTTGCATAAATAAGTTAAAGAGATATTAGTCACACCTGTGTTACCTTAGGGCTTGAATGATTGGGCCTCCAAGAGCATAGGCCTTGCCTAGGTCCATAACAATTATATATATATATATATATATATATATATATATATATATATATATATATATATATATTAGAGGTAGAATTCTTTGACACCAATGTTAAATTTGAAATTTGACACCTCATCTGAGAGCCGTTAGATCAAAAAAGATCAACGACTCTAATTTGTAAGCATGTGACACCATTGAACTTTTTTTATCTAACAGCTCTCAGATAAGGTGTCAAATGATCCTACCTCATATATATATATAATAGGGACAAGTTATATTTACAAACTTTTTTGTTTACAAACTCTTACAAACTACACTATCTTCTCCTGGAAGAGCACTAGTATCTTCTCCCGAGAGAAGATAGTGTAATTTGTAAAAATTTGTACAAAAAATTTGTAAAGGAATCCTTCCCCTATATAATATCGTCAAATTTCTATATATTTTTTTCGTGTTTTTGTGGTCAACTTACGAATTGACTCACATTATTCCTCTACCTTAACATGTTAGTTTGTTTAATCTGGTATTTGAATGAGGCTTCTATATAGAGTTAAATCCAGTCCCTCCTACTTTACAAATTAAACAGGGCGATTCATACCGCAATAGTCCCAAACGCCGACTGAACAAATTCAACAGTTTTTGAAGAATTTCTATCGTAACCATATAAATAAAGGGTTTTATATTTGTTACGTTACATCATGTAACATAATAAACCTACACACAATTAAGAAGAGAGAGGAGAGAGAAAAAATAAAAATCAAGAGATGAGACTCACATAAAAATTGTGTGCGTACGAAAATTATGTTACGTCATGTAACATAACAACAATAAAACTCGTACTGAGTTTAGTGTTTGTCATTTTAAATGACACAAGTTATGTCATTTTTAATGAAACTACGTCGTTTTGGTGTGTTTTGTCATTTTTTCTAATTTATAAAATTAGAAATAAAAAGAAAATAAAGGAGAGAGAATGTTAAAACACACCAAAACGACGTAGTTTCATTAAAAATGACATAACTTGTGTCATTTAAAATGACAAATATTTTTCCCATATAATAATTTTTATAAACCGCTTAATATTCAGAATTTACTTTAAACTAAGACTTTATTTAAAGAAAATTAAATTTCTTGTCGCTCAAGTCAATAAGGATTAGTATTCATGTATAGTATTAAAAAAATATAAAAATATAAAAATTAAAAATAACTATGACTATGTAGTTTACATGAACCAAAAAATTTCACGTTGGTCCAGATATAAGAATTTCTCCTTCCATAAAGAAGCTTTGTATGAAAGCAATTACGAATATATTCTGCTAGTTCTCCACTGAAGTACTGAACAAAGGCCACGCGTCTCCTTTGGTATCAAATTCCAATTCACAAGTTGAAGCTCGATGGGCCAAAAAGCTCCCCCAAAAAAAGAAGAAAAAGAAAGTTGGTTCTTTTGGTGTAGATTCTACACGGTACCTCACTCCATGCTAATGCGAACATAAATCACAAAATGGCACAGTCTGAATTCCATTAAATTTACTGTGTGGTATTACTCTTCTTTTCCCTTGTATTATAAATTGTCCAACAAGCACCCACTTCAAGGTATTTGAAACAGAGAGAGAGAGAAAAATGGTGTGGCCTTTGAAGGAGAGAAGGGGTCCAGCGTGGAAGCAAGGGTGGACCATAAACACTTTGTACTCCATATCCGCACCACCTTTGCAACTGTTGTCCATTGTTGGCATCGTGATGTTTTTGCTTTTTGTTCCATCTTATATAAACTTCAAGTCAACAGTGCAGACAACCACCGTCAGCTTCCACGTGTTCCTCTTGGTTTTGCCAGTTGTGTTGATTTTCATTGCCTACTACATTTCTAGATGTGGAACACGCCTTGTGCTTCCGGTGCCGCCGTCATTCTTTGGTCGTGTACGAATGCGAGCACGAACGTCAGAAACAGGAGGGTCGTCGCCTTGGGGCGTAGCGGCGTCGGTGGTGTTACTTTTGGTTTTGGCCTCCTACATCTCCAATTTCAGGTCCATGTGGTCGCCACTCATTTCGAGACCCTACTAGTTGCTATTTTATATACGTAAGTCATAATATTTGTGAAATCGAAAATAGTCTCTTTGGCCCTGGCCAATTTTTGTGTATGTCATCACATCATAATCATATATGTGATCAATTGCAGCTGGTTTCTTTGCCATCATCTTATTATCCTATCAGTTCTTCAATCCATTGTTTAATTTAATTAATTATTTATAATATTTAAGATAAGTTACTCTTACATCGATATCTTACTCCCAATTTAAATTATTAATTTACTTGCATCTAACTATATTAATAAATACGAGCATATTATTCTTATACAAATATAAAAATAATAAGTCTTATACTACGTCTTAACTGCTGTTTTTTTACATCTAATGATTAAAATTTATTTGTTCATATTAATTAATTAATTATTATAATTCAATAAATCTTAACATTAGATACACGAAAATCAACGATTAAAATATGATATAAGATTTGTTATTCTTATATCGATATAAATTGATTATATCCCTTATAAATATTTGATATAAACAAGATCAATTACAAAGATTAAAAATTATAATATTTGTATATTGGATATATGTTGGAGTGGTGTTGGTTAATGCATCTATTAGTTGGTCTCAGTTTTATTCAGGCTTCTGAGATCAATTTTCAAGTATCATTACCACCATGATAGAATGATCAGACGCCAGAGGCCTCGCATTGATAGAATCGTAAAACGGACGGCCCGGTTAATGAACCATAGCCAAATTTTAATCAATTCCATATCACTTAGCTAATTATTCTTTTAAATTATAAGAAAATAATTTTTATTTTCTGTTTGAAATTAAATTTTTTTATCTAATTACTTTAAATTTCTTAGATATATTATTAATTAAAAAGTATTTATGAAAAATAAACAAACGGCGCAATGTATTTATTTAAAATTTTTACAAAGGCCCACTTCTTATTTTATTTTTTTGGCGGCAGGAAAAAAGGCGCTTGGGCCTAACGCAAAAGAACAACTAGCTGAGGCAAAGCTAATCCCATATAGGGAATTATAAAAGTGCCAGGCCCTTTATTTTTTTTATTAATTACAATTACAAAAGTTGGTTTCATGTCATCGAAATAACAGTACACATAATATATAAAGTTTTATTTGTTTTCGATAATAACAATTTAGACCCATCTTCACACTTTAACTTGTAGTTAAAAAGTTAAATTTAAAATAAATAAAAACACACACACTATTCCTAGGTCGAATATGTGGTTTTGGTGAATATATCTTGGATATTACCAGGGTCGTGTGCCGTTCGAGAAAATTTTTGGTGTAACTGCTAAAGGATATGAATTATAATGGAATTTTTTCTTCTTTTTAATATAAGGGAGTAAGAAATTTCCGTACCCTTCCTATGTACTGTAAGTTTAGACTCCTTGTAAAACCAAATATATATTATTAACGTGAAAAGTTATATTTGTAACCTTTTATTATCGTATTTTGATCGTTAAATTTCAGAAATCAATAGTTATTATTTTTTCTCAAATCAAATTTATTAATTAAATATTAATTTACAATAAATGATAATTGTTCATTGATGAAAATTAATGATTAAGATATGGTTGTAGGAGATTATAAACGACAATAGTTTATAAATATAACATTCATCATTATTAATAGGTTAAGTGTTTGTTATTTTAAATTATATAACTTTGTGTCATTTTTAATGAAATTGTGTCGTTCTGATGTGTTTTTTATATTTTATATTTTTTATAAAATTAGAAAAAAAAGAAATTAAAGAAAAAAATGCAAAAACATACCAAAATAATATAATTTTATTAAAAATAAAATAAAATTATTTCATTTAAGTGAAAAACACTTTTTCTATTATTAATTCGCATATTCACAGTCCCCCCTTTTAATCATCAAATGGGCCCATGTTCTTGATTGGGCTTTGTCAGATGGGCAGCTAAATGGAAGAAGAGCAGGGGAGTCATAGTGGCGGAACAACGGTTGTTGAGCAACCCACCCGTCACATAACTAATAAACAATACATGCACTTCTAACTAATACCACACGTGTCCCGCATTCTCAGTTTCAAGTTGGATCACACAATAGATTTTCTTCGGAAGGACACAAAGTCACAACACAACAATCTAAGTCTAAACAAAAATAAAATAAAATGAAGGCAAACAAGACGCCGATCCACGCCGTGACGACATGGGTTCGGCGGCAACCGCCCAAGATGAAGGCCTTTCTGGCGGTGCTTTCGGGCCTCACTGCTTTGCTCTTCCTCAGAATGGTGGTTCACGACCACGACAGCCTCTTCGTCGCAGCCGAGTTTGTTCATGCATTAGGAATATCCGTCCTCATTTTCAAGCTCACCAAGGAAAAAACTTGTGCTGGTACCCAATAATCCCTTCCTTTTTTCTTTATTTTTGTGGGTAAAATAATCCATTCCTTCAACGGCTTTCTTTTTTAAAAAATAAAATAAAATAAATATGTTACCATGAACATTTCAGATTGGGGCTATGTTTAATTGGATTTGTGGTGGGTCATCATTACACATTGATGGTCGTAACAATCATGCTTGTACTACTTCGTAGCTTTTACATGTAGAAATAAAATAAAATGCTTGTACTATTTTCTAATCCACTATTATCCAAAAAAAAAAAATGGTTTTTAGGATTGAAAAAGTTATTCTAATCTAGTTCAATTGTCGCACGTGGCAGGATGTCTTCATTATCTTCCTTTGGATTGCAAGCGTTCCCTAATTCCGTTTTAGATAAAAGTAGAGAAAAAGTTGCTTTATGCGATTATTATTTTTAACAAAAAATTATTTTCTTGTTTTCCAGCACAGCAGGAAAAGAAATGTGAGGAAAATAATTTTCTTTGTATTTGTATTGTAAAGTTATGCAAGAAAAAGTTATATTTACAATTTTTTTTTTTTTTTTTTTGTAAACTCTTATAAATTACATTACATTATGTCTTTCGGTAAGACACATACCGATGATGAGATAGTTTATAAAAAAAAAATTGTAACTGTCCTCTTTTTGCATATAAGAACAAGCTTTTCCACTGTGTTTTAAACTTTGCAGGACTTTCACTTAAATCACAGGAGCTGACGGCTATGTTTCTAGCTGCTAGACTGTACTGCAGTTTTGTCATGGAATATGATATACACACCATACTCGATACGGCAACATTGGGGACGACTCTCTGGGTCATTTACATGATACGCTTCAAACTGAAATCCAGTTATATGGATGATAAGGACAACCTTGCAATATACTATGTGGTAAGTCCTCTGTCTTGTGTATAAAGGTATTCATCTTCTTTTGTATTAGCTATATTATGCTTTTCATTTATTTTCATTTGGCAACATAGCTTGGGTTGGGGCTTCCTGTTAAGCATCTCACTAATTCTCGTGTTGAATTTCTCTAACAATCTAATGCTTAATAAACTCTTAAATAAGAGACTTTTTTGTTCAGAGTATCATTAGCTACAAAACTGCAGTTGGTAAAAATGAGGATTCTTTTACAATTTTGGACTAGGATTGTGTTAAAAGCACAGTTTAGGAGCTTCTAAAATTTATTAACTTCTAATATTCTATCGTCTGTGCATTTATTGTTAGTTTAATTTCTTTTTCCCTACACGATTTGAACACCTCTACTTAAAAGTTTATTTTGTAGTACATACTGATAATTCCTCCTGTATTCTCTCCTCCTTAAAAGGAATATGGTTTGCAAGAGAAGGGGGAAGGAGGGGTGTTGTTTGAATGCATGTTCTGTAATTCCTTGAAGCTTGTTTGTCTTGGTTACCTGTTCAAAAAGAGAGCCTAATGTTTGACGGTTAGAAAGGTGATTTCAGAGGAGTGCTTACTTCAATCTGTTTTTTTTTTAAAAAATAAAATAAAATAAAAATATTTATTGTAGAATCAGATTTTGAAATTTCAGAATGGGTTCAAGCCATTCAAGGTAACAGAAATTTCATCCATCTTATCATATTGTTACTATTGTTCTCTGTTTTCCCTTTATGGGTGAATTTCTGGGTTGAAAATATCTTAGTTTCATACACAAGAACCAACTTTAGCTCTGAAATGAAAGAACTAAGATATTTTATCTTTCATGCGTCTAAATGAATGGAGGATTCATTTGCTCTGAGGATGGAGTGTTTTAATTTTCTTTTACTAAAATGCAGGTGATACCTTGTGCTGTGTTGTCCTTGTTTGTTCATCCAACAACCCGGCATCACACTTTTAACAGGATTCTTTGGGCCTTTTGTGTTTATCTTGAAGCTGTGTCTGTTCTCCCTCAGCTGCGGGTCATGCAGAATGCTAAGGTCTTTTTGAAATATATTTCTGCCTCTTACTTTTCCTTTATTATACTTTCATCGTTTGAAATGTTGATTATGAGGTATGTTGGTATTGCATCTTCCTTTGCCAGATGGTCTTTCTAAATACAGTTGTAGTTAACTCTTAATTTCAACTCTCAGATTGTTGAACCATTCACAGCACACTATGTTTTTGCCCTTGGAATTGCAAGGTTCTTGAGTTGTGCACATTGGGTCCTCCAGGTCTGACTGAATTTTAACTCCTAAGGTGTTTTTATCGCTTAATTCCGCAAATAAAATGATTTGCTTATAATATTCCAGAGATTAAGTGATATGGAAAATACTATTTAATACCTTGGATTATGTATACTTCATCAGAATTTTTTGCTTTAGTATGACACTCGTACTATAAACTATTTTTGACCGTATCAGCCTTCCATATCCAATGGTAGATAGAGCAACCGTGTACTGTATCTAAGAGAATGCTTATGTTGTCTTCCTCAGGTATTAGATACTCGCGGACGTCTACTAACTGCTTTGGGTTATGGATTGTGGCCTTCTATGGTACTTCTATCAGAAATTGTCCAAACTTTCATCCTGGCAGATTTTTGCTACTACTACGTCAAGAGGTGGATGATTAAATTCTCAGATATGCAAAACATACATCTTACTATGCTCTTGTTAACTTTCTGATTTTTTTTTATTTTTTTTTCTCCTTTGCTGCAGCATTGTTGGTGGACAACTTGTTCTTCGGCTTCCTTCAGGAGTGGTGTAACTTTAACATTCATTTTCAGATCCCTCAGGTTGGGCTATCCTTTAGTATTATTCAGCACTCAGGCAGTATGGATAGCTGCTAGAGAAGTTTGATATGTTATGTATGTGCGGTCGTTGGGTTGACAGAGTTGGGAATGTAACATATGTGTAACTTGGAGAAATTTTAATTTATCTTTGATCAATTCCAAGTTACTATTGGTAATTGCCAAGATATCAAAATATCAAATATGTTAATCTTCTGAGCTGATATTTGTTGTGAAAGCTAATATGACCAGTACACGTTCACATGCCTTACAAGTTACAAATATTCACTAACCGTCAACGAGATATCAGTGGAATTGACCTATGAATAACGAATAGGAAGTCAATTCACCTATGAATGAAAGGAAATATATTAGAGAGAGAGAGAGAGAATCTTGAGGTAGATTATGTGGGAAGAGAAGGAGATGAAAATAAAAGGGACATATTTTGCTTAGGCCGTGACGTGGTTGTTGCCCTGTTGGTCTTTTCTTTTTCTATTTTACCTCTTACCTTATTTCTTTTTTTCAAAATATTTTAATTGATTTATCGTTTTCTTTTTTTCAAAATATTTTAATCGATTTATCGTTTCGCGACTAGTTCTAATTTGGGGTGGATCATGAGATTAAAGTTTTAAATTTCTCTCAAAGGTGATAATGAGTAGGATTGAACACATATTTTCATCCTCACATGATCAGTTTTCTGGTGCCAATTGAATTACCATTTACTTTTAAGACTTTGATGTTTCTTATATAGGGCTCATGTGAGGTTATGTGAAGAGGAAAAAAAAATACGAATTTTATACATTTTTGTGTGTGTAAAAATATGATTTTATCTTCTAGAATATTAGAGACATTAAACCCTACTTTAAAGGTTTTTTTAATTACGAGTTTCTAAAGTTTTTTTTCTACATTAAAAAATTGTTATCGTATCTTAATCCAGTTGTTATTTTAAGCTTTGTAAGCCAAGGGGTTAGCCTTAGGGAGATGTGTTCTATACCTTCATGATTCAAGGAGGTGAGCCTTTAAGTTTGTTCGAAGAAAGAGATTTAGTTTAAAAAATAAATCTATAATGGATGTTATTGTATTTGGCCCTAACTTTGCGTTTCGTTATCATTATTCATTTTAGGGAAATAATAATCTCCTTTCCCTTCATTTTATTGTTTATTTTTGTTTGCAAATTTTCTTTTAAAACTCCCCGCATCATAATTAAGAGATTCCCATTTTTCTGCAGCACAGGCAGGCAGTTTGGCACAAAAGAGATGTCTGCCTCAGAGAAAAAAAGGTACCCATTAATTATTATTTTTACCAGATCGGATCCTCGTAAAATAATTTGTGTGTGTGTGGATCTGCAACAGACAAAACTATTTGCGCAAGTATCTTTCCTCTTTGGCAGCCTCTCACTACACTGCGAAAATGAATTATATATGGATATTCAATTAAGTAATGCACTGCATCGATACTTCAAAATTCTTGATGTGTCGTATCTGACACTTTTTGACATTCTCATACCCTCTCCGACACTCCAACACGCGTTATAGAAATTCAAAAAAAGGTTCAAAAGTTATGTTGCGTTGAGTTTTTAGTTTTAACTATTAGATTCATTGGATTACGATTATCATTTTATTGAGTTTAATATAAATATTTAGGATATCTTATGTTTCTTTGCAAAATTTATAAATATTATAAGTTTAGATTTATTTTTTTTGTTAAATTATTGAATATTAAATATAATATATACTACAAAAATTAAAAATATTATTTAATATCAAAACGTGTCCTAATGTGTCGAAATGTAACATTTTTTAGAATTAAAGTGTCGTGTCGTATCGTGTCACATGTCCCGTATTAGTATCGGTACTACATAGTGTACTGCATGCCATAATAACGCATTCTAATTATTGTTTAAATTAAATATTGATACTAAAATTTATTAAACAAATACTTAAAATATATTCACTAACAAAGCACAACACAGTTGGTAGATAGCTGAGTCCCTTAAGTATGCTGACGTGGATTCAATTCCTGATCGTATGTATAGAAAATATTTTGTTGGTAGAGTTATACTTCGAGGGAATTAGTCTTCGGCTGTCGGTGAGGGGTATTTTAAGTTATACTAAAAAAAAAAAATTAACATATATTTAGGTTAACTTCGAATAAAATATATGTTAAACTTCAAATATTTTATTCACTTTTAATAATGTTTAGATGTATTTTAACTTTATATAAATATAGGGACATGATCAACTTACATCGATGTGAGAATATGAGATATGATCAACTTATCGCGGTGAAAGAATAATAAGTCTTACACTTAATCTTAGCCATTGATTTCGCTAATCGAATGATTGTAATTGATTGAGTTATGTTCAGTAATTGTTTATTAAGTTTTCAATAAAATACAATCGTTAGATACACAAGAATCAACGATTAAGATTGAGTGTAAGATTTATTACTCCTAATACCGGTGTAAGAAGATCCTGTCTCATATATATATATATAGGGGCAAGATCCTTTGACATTAGTGTCAAATTTGAAATTTGACACCTCATCTGAGAGCCATTAGACAAAAAAAGATCAACGTCTCTGATTTGTAAGCATGTGACACCATTGATTTTTTTTTATCTAACGGCTCTTAGATGAGGTGTCAAACTTCGAATTTGACACCGGTGTCAAAGGATTCCACCTTATATGCTTACAAATCAGAGTCATTGATCTTTTTTTATCTAATGGCTCTCAGATGAGGTGTCAAACTTCAAATTTGACACCGGTATCAAAGGATCCTGCATATATATATATGGGGCAAGTTCTTTTTACATCAGTGTAAGACTAACAAGTCTTACACCACATCTCAACCGTTGATGGACGAAAATCATCGGTTGATATTTGTAGTGTAATTAATGAATTAATATTAATTAATTTGTATGACTTTCTAAATTATAATCGTTGGATGAACATAAATTAACGGTTGAGATGTGGTGTAAGATTTATTAGTCTTATACTGGTGTAAAATGATTCTAATCATACATATCAGAAAAATGTTACTGCAGATAAGTTATCTGTATTTACTTCCAAAACGACATCGTTTTGATGTTGACATATTAAAAATTATAATTATAGAGACTATTATAACCCTGAAATAAATTAAAATTATAAAAACACCTTGATTTTTGCCCTAAAATGACGTCGTTTTGGTCTCAATGCAGATAATTTATCTGCATTAACTGCAGATAATATATATATATATATTATTTGAAAAAACTATTATATTATTTTAACAAGTTAACTTAATTTTTTCCCGACATAAAAGAATATTTATAATTTATTTTTTATAACATTTTTTTTAAATACATTTTGACTTTTGTTAAAGACTTACTAATCACAATTTTTATTTATTATCGTATCTCATAATTATAAATTTAACAAATCTCGTATTATTATTATTATTAGTGAACAAATTTGTGTACCTGATCATACGTGTTTGAGCATCCTTGAAGTATTAATGTTGGTGGCAACAATGCGCTCCTTTATGTGCTTTGGTGGGAAAGGGAGGTGTGCACCTTCAACACTCAAGTCACTGGGACATTAACTATGTTGTCATCCCTTTAATAAAAAATTATCGAATTGTCACGTCAGGAAATTTTTTTGTCAAAATGTCACGTCACAATCTCGCTGGTCTGACAAGCGGAATGATCTGGACACGTGTCAGCGTCTGAATGGTCAACCATTCTCGCTGTCAGCGTGAATGTCATTCTAGCTGGGCAGCTCAGCGAGAATGGTTGACCATTCAGACGCTGACACGGTCCAGACCATTCCCGCTTGTCAGACCAGCGGGATTGTGACGTGGCATTTTGACAAATTTTTTTCCTGGAATGACAATCCGGTAAGTTTTTGCCTAAAAGGTGGCAATATGGTCAATGTCCCTGAGTCACCATCATTCATATCAATAGTGTCTTAGGTAGCATACTTATTTTTTTATGAGTTCTCCTTGAACGGGGATAAGGACCCTTTGTATATGGTGGTTGTAGATTCCTCAAAAGGGATTAGGATTTTCCTCTTAGCTATTGCCTGTTGGGCCTTAGGTTTAATGAGCTCAAGCTAGATATATAATCTAGAATAAGGGGCGGTTTGGTAGAGGAAATTTTTTTTTTTTTACTAGGAAAATACAATTACTAGGAATATGGTGAGAAAATGAGTTTGATAGAAAAGTTAAAAAAAAGTTGTTTGGTAGGACAAAATATTATATGAAAAATTGATTTTAACTTCCTAAGTCTTTGTTTGGTTAATAGTAAAATATTGCTGGAAAAATTGGATGAAATTACGAAAACAACCCTTGATTAAATAAAACTAATATTTGGGAGGCTAAATACAAGTCATTATCGGTGAACATCTCTTCTACCATATCTCTCTCTTTCTCCTTGTCTCTCCGTTCAAAACCATCACTCCGGCACAGAGAGCGTGTGGTTTGATCTCCCAGCCCCTCTCTCTTAGTCAACGACAAAAGAAAGAAGATAATGGTAGAAGAATCATCGGGAACTAACACAAAAGGGCTACAAACCAACGACGAACTCACATGGAATTTGTAAGGATTGTCCAAACCTTATAGAAATCAAACCCACCATTCCCAGATCTGAAGGATCTCAAAATTTTAGGCTTGCAACGCACTACTGGTTCTGTAAGGGAGACAGAGTTACTGAACTGATAATAGAGGGTCATTTTGGACACTTGCAACACTTCCTTTTTTGATTTGGCCGGTAATCCGCAAAATATCATATTCTATGTGATATTATTGAACAATACTTTTTACTCACAAATGTCTAACCCCATGCAAATCTGTTTCCTAGTTAAATTTTTCAAAACTTTATACCAAACATAGACATATTAAAATACTACTTTCATTTGCACGGGTATCTTTAAATTTAACTCCTACCAAATACACCCTAGCAATCCCTAGCTTGGTGAACATATATGTATGTATCTCTGATCATGATATGTGGGTGTGCTTGAGCATCTTTGGAGTAGTCTTGATGGTTGCAACATTGTGCTCCTCCATGTGCTCTGGTGGAAAAAAGGAGTGTGCAATTGCCAGACATTCAAATATTCAAGTCAGTATTAGCAATAACTATAGTGTGATAAGTAGAATATTAACCTTTTTATGCGTTGTTCTTGAATGGGGATGAGAACCCCTTATATATATATATATATATATATATATATATATATATATATATATATATATATATATATATGTCTGTGTGTGGTGGTTGTACATTTCATAAAGGGGTTTAGGGTTTTTCCCTTGTTATTGGTCGTTAGGCTTAATGGGCCCAAACTGGATATATTATCCAAAATAATTAGTATAAATATTGGAAAAAATGTTTGTCATTTTAAATAACAAAAAGTTATGTTATTTTAAGAGATATACGGACACAGAAAATTTGAATTTTAAATTAAAAAAAATTACCCACTTTCTCTCTACCATGATTTCCGTTTTTCTGTGTCTATCTCTCTCCTAAAAGGACATAACTTAAGTCATTTAAAATGACAAACACCAAACCTATAAATATTATATAAATAAATTTAATAAATTATTCCTTTTATGTTTGAAGTGAAGACTCACCATATAAATGAGTCAAGGAGTATACATAATTTAAAATGATTTATTTTAATTATATATTTTTATATTTTTTATGACATTATATTTTTCATATTAGTACTCACAAAGTAGTATCACGAAAATTTATTTAAATATTAATATCATTAAAACTTGGGAAAAGTTCACTGATGCCCCTGTGGTTTGCTTCAAAATCATTTATGCCGCTGTGGTTTTTTTTCTATCACATATGCCCCTGTGCTTTGTAAAAAATAAGAAACCACAGGGGTATATGTGATAAAAAACATACCTTTTTACAAACCACAAGGGCATAAGTGATTCTGAAGTAAACCACAGGGGCATTGGTGAACTTTTCCCTTAAAACTTATATAATCGAGGTTAAAGAGAATAACTTATAGCTTACCAAAAAAAAAAAAAAAAACTTATAAATACGATATCTATCTTAAAAAATTACTTTGATTGTTATTTATAAAAAGAAATTTGAATGTTAAAAAATGTGATAAAATAAAAAAAAATAAAAGAAATAAAAAGTCAAATGAAATAAAATATTTGTAGAATAAAAAAAATTGAAAAATAACCCTACGATTATAGTAGGAGAAGAATTTAATATTTATATAAATATTAAGTTCTGTATTGTAGGTTCATCTTGATTTTGTCTGTATAGCTTCGAAAAGAATAGAGAAAAGATAATCTCTACTAGAATATTACAGCTGCGGTGCCAACCCATACAGCGCTGTCAGGATTGGGTTATATAACCCTTTTCCTATTTTTGTGCTTGCTTTAGCAACTTGTTTCTCTTCCTACTTCACAAAGTTGTTGCACCATCCAAATCCATACATCACCATCTCCCAAAGCCTACCTTCGCGGCAAGCTACTTAGCAATTTTTTTTGGCCGTTATAATAATAATTCATCACTTGTAGTTTTCCATGTATTCAAAAAGCCGAAAACCCTTCCTTATGTTTATCCACTATTTGCCCCCCCCCCCCCCCCCCTCCCTAATAAAGCAATCTAGTCCCGTAATATGACCCTCCTTGGGTGGGACTTGTCCATATAATCAAATTGCAGTTTGGTAGCACTACATTTAGTTCAGTTAATATATGACCATGAAATTACGTGGCCTCATTAATCAAGTCCTTAAAATGGCATTGGCATAGCATGACCCGCTTCATCAAGTGCTGCCAAAAGCCTAATTAATAACTCTAGACTGTTCTATTATCACACACTCCGTGACTTGTTTTGTGTTATTTATATATGTTGAATGGCCAACCGCTTTAATAAATAGTTAATGTTATCCATTAAGAAGATTACCATATTAATAGTGTTGAAAGATTTAAGGCTATGTATGTTTAGTCTTATTTTTTTTTCTTTATTTTATATTTTTCTTCACAAAAATAAAAAAGTTGAATCAAAACAAAGTAATATTTTTACAATCAGTAATAAAAATAAAACCAAAAAAAAAATATTTCCTCAAACAAAATATGCAGGTCTCGCTTGAATGGTTATTATACTTGTATAGTTTGAATTAATGAATAAGATAATACTCGTGGCGTGGGGTTATGAATTAATGAATAAGGCTTTTACCATGGTTAACAAGAAAAACCATGCGCTGCTTGTCTTTTGAAAGCAGTCTGAATATATAATTCACCCGCCAAACAATACCACTTTTTATTTGACCTCCCATCGATCCTTCCAAAACCACTTTTCACTTCCAAATGTTCTCTCATCCAGTCACTAATACGTTTTCAAAATCTATGTTTGAATTAAAATATTATTATTTTAAATAAGTTAAATTCTGAAAATATGTTTATCAATAAAAATTTCCAAATCTAACTAAATAGGGTAAAATGTTGATTTTTATATATATATTTTTATTTAATCATCTTTTTTTATTAAAACTTTTATGCTATGCATTTAATGATTTAATAATTGTTTCGCATGATAAAAAAAAATTAAATATAAATATGATATCACTAACTATATATATTTCATGATATTAATATATAATTTTTTTAATTTAATCATTTGTGTATATATATATATATATATAATATTACAAAAAAGTTTAATAAAGAGTTTAAGCAGCTAGCGCCCATTATCCTTTGTTTATAATCTACTCTCTTAACTATAAATAGAGGCTCCTTGTTTCTCATTCTGTGCACTCTTAAGAACAGTACACCTCTTCAAGCCCCTCATTGCCATAGCCCATAGCCAATAAACCATGGCTCTTTCTAAGGTTCTTGTTGCATCCCTTCTGGTATCTTTTGTCCTCCTCCATATTGCTGATGCTGATCAACCGGTAATTTAATTAAAGATATGCTGCTTCTTAATTTCTATATTAATGTTTTATATATTCTGTATATTATTAATAAGGTTTTTATAAGAGTTATGTTGTAGGAAAAGTGATTGTGTAATGTTATAGAGATTCGTTTTGCGTGCCATAAATTTTTTTTTTTCTTTAAAAAGTGTGGCCCCACAAAATGTTGTGTGTAGAAAAGTTTGTTGTCATGTTAAATGACAAATGCAAACCCCTATTAATAACTAGTTACTATACTTGGCCTTCGTTCTCCACTCCTTCATGATTCACAAGCTCACAAGTGTTTCCTTTACCATGAAGCTACGTACTTAACTAACTAATTTATATGTGCTTTTGAGAAATCGCAGGTACACGCACAGACTCAGAGTTCTCTTCTTCAGCAGATGGGTACAAAATTCGATTCCATCTCAGCATCTGTTTGGGTGTTAATTTATTTAAAGTAAAAAACAAACAGTAGCAATGAACTAATTAACAAAAATTATATTTGATTGAATTAAATAGTAATTTGAACGTAATGCATATTTGAGGTGGACGAGTTTAATTAATAATAATGGTTTCAATTTCAGATTGTGATGGAGCGTGTGCTGCACGATGTCGTTTAGCATCTCGTCAGCGCATCTGCCACAGAGCCTGTGGAACTTGCTGTAGACGGTGCAACTGCGTACCACCAGGAACTGCCGGTAACCAAGAAGTGTGCCCCTGCTATGCCAGCTTGACCACCCATGGCGGAAGACGCAAGTGCCCTTAACAGTTCCATACCAACCCATGCAACTTATAAATTATCCTTCGTTTGCAATCGCATATTATGTTATTATAATAACAAGTCAACGTGGAACAATAGCGTATTATGTTATATAATAACGTCATGTAAAATAAAATTGTGTTTTCAATGCATGTTGAATCATTGTTAGGAACTGAAGAGAGTGAAAAGGGTGAGAATTTCAGAACAAACACCAAGAAGAAGAAGAAGATGAAGAAGATGATGAAGAAGAATTGAATCATTGTTAGTGTTTGGGAATATAATTATAATATAACGTCTTTTAATAATTTCTGTGTAATAGTATTGTTCTTTTCCTGTCTGTGATGTGGTAGTTTTATGCTTTCTCTTTTACGTCTATTGTTGTATTGTATCATCAAATTGAGGAATATAATAAAATTTCTTTAACCTATGATTTTTTATTTTTGGGTATTTATCAAGTTAAAAAGAGAGAAACCACAAATTGAGCCTTACAGCAACGCTGCATATATATCGAAATCAAATCTAGTTATTTACTTATCCATTCAATGAAAGGGTCAAATGTTGTTAAAATATTTAAGTTCCCAGTTAACGTCCTCGCGCACCCGGTTACTGAAGTTAGTAACATGCGTGACAAAGAGCAATACTTCTAATTCTCCACACACACACACACAAAAAACAAGAACAATACTTCTTCCATCGTTGATTGCTCAATCACACGTGTTTTCCCCCACCGAACCATCTTCTACGTATATAGTTCACTTTCTCATATTGTTCGTTTACTAATTAAGTTGACCATCTCAATTCTCGAAACATTAAAATTTAATAAATTTGGAATTAATAAAATATCAAAATAAATTTTTATTTTTATTTTACATTTCTCAAGTAACATTGTTCAATTTTATTCTTTTACTTTTTCATCTATATTTCCTTTTTCTTCACCTCAATAAACGATCCGCCTCAAATTATATCTTCATCGTTTAATCAATTTCTGAAGGTTTTTATTTTAAGGTATTTAACTAAGTTCCTTGGTAACACATTCTTTTTAAGAATATTATGGCTAGAGTTATTCTTGAATATTCTAAAAATATATTTGTTTACTATTAAAAATTATTGACATTTTTTTTTTGAAATTTCTGAAAATAACTTAAAAGTTTGTTTGGTGGACAGTACATAGTCCTGTAAGTGATAATTATCAAAATTTCCTTACTATATAAAATATTGTTTAAATATATTCCGTTAAATGCAATTGATAAAAAAAAAAAACCAATTGATAAAAAAGCAAAAATGCATAAATTAGTAATGACAAGTCGAACAAGTGGAGTAAAAGAGTGAAGATAAGAATGAAGAGTCACGCAGGAAACGTGAGTCCTGGCGCTGAGAATGAAATAATCATAAATGGCACTTCAACATTGAATTTGAAAAGTGAAGACCCGAACCAACCAATTTATCTCCACATCCCGCTAATAGCAATACCACCCTCCGCACGTGTATCAAACATAATGTTCACTGTATAACATCCACCTGACCCCGAGCTGGCACGTGCCTCTCACACACTCGCAGTAGCCAGGAGTGCTTGTTTGTGCCTTGTGTGGCATGAGTCGCATGACAATAATTAACTTAACGATCTTGTGAGTACACAGACTCACAGAGAATAAAAGAAGCGCAGAATGCACTGTGAGATCTCAGTCTCACAGATATAGAAAGAGAAAGGAACATGGAATAAGAACAAGCTTTTGTCGCACTGCACGGAGAGACGCCACCTGACATGCTTATCTCCTCCGCCAGATTTACCGTAGATGGAAATGGGTCGGTATTACCAAAAGAAAAAATAAAAAATGCCATGACATTTTTCTTTTTGGGTTGGGCAAAAACTATGTCTTTAATTTTAATAATATAAATTGCAAAATAAAATAAAGAACACTAAGGTATTTAGGTGATGTGGACGACACGTTATGCATGTTGCTGTTTGGGCGCAAATCAACGATGGAAGAAGGAGAACCATTGATTGGATTGAGGAGCAAGGAGGCAAGAATAAACTTTGAGAGTGAAGTCATAACAGAACAGAAGGAGGGAGTGTGGCCGTTTCGCATTGCATTCAATCGAAAGCGCGCACGAACAGAACCGAAAACTTTGTTTTTTTTTTTTTTTCCGTTTGGAAAAAGCATTTTGAATCTTCCATAGTTCTCCTTTGTTCTTATTCAAACTTAACTCCCTTAATTTTATTTTTTTTGAAAAAAGCAAATTATAAATTTATGATGAATTAAATTCTGAGTCATAATAAAAAAATAAATACTAGGTACTTTCCTTCTTACAATTCTCACGGACACGACATTTGAGAGGCTTCCTTTTATCTTTTTCTTTCAGTTGCCTTTCTTTTCTCGTGAGTATTTACCACTCTCCTGTTTTTGGCTCAACCCAATCAGTTACTTTATTTCTCACAAAGAACCTGATTCTCTGAACACGAGGAATTACTTTTCTTGTTTGCTTTTCTTTTTTTAAAAAAAGACATCACACCACAATGCCACAAAATCATTCTCATTACTGCCAAAGTTTTTTGTCCTCAGTCTTAACCTTAAAAACTTAACAGTGGTTTTCAGGCGAGGCCATCAACTAGCAACTAAACCAAGTTGATTCCCTCTCAGAGTGGTGATTCAGATTGGGATAACCACCGTGAAAGAATCGGAATGGGTGAGTCGGGTTGGGTTCCGATGAAGTGAGTAAGAAATGGACAAATCTCGAGGCAGTCGGTTCGCAACCGCCAAGCGAAACATTAATAAACAACAATCTGCTTCTGCTGGGAAACGCAACCTCATCCCTCGTAAGTCATTTACCACTCATTTCTCTCCCAAAATAAAATTAAAATAAAAATCCATTTATATTTTTTTGTTATTGTCGCTTTCCGATAATGCTTCTCTCTTTTGTTCTCTTCCTGCTTATTCTTCGCATAAATAAGTAAATAAATAGTAATACTCCTCTATTTCTCACTCAGAGATAGGTTTCAATGCTATCCGTGAGGACCTTCCATTTTCGGAGAAATCAAAGAAGGAGAAGGTGAGAAGCTTAAGTGCTGTTGCTAAAGCATTATCAAGCTACGAAATGGGTTCTCAAAAACCACATGACTCCGCTGTCATTTCCCCCAAGAGATTTAAGCTTCCCAAAAAGGTAGTTTACTTATGCGCTCGCTCAATTCAATTCCTGGATTATGTTTATGGAATTATTATTATTTTTTTATAATAAATATTTAATGATTTGGCAGTTTATCAATGACTGCAATGGCGTTGATCATGCCTCTGTTCCGCGGAAGATACGTTCAGGTGCCCTATTTCCGGATTCAGAGCGAAAGATGTCTCATTTATCTTTTCATAATTATTTAATCTACATTTCCTTTTATATCCCTTCGGCCAATTTCTACTCATCGATAGTAATGTTGGATAAGAGTTGAAGCAAAGCAAACCCCGGCCTTTTTGCTTTTTCTTTATAACAATGACGAGACTCAGGATTCTGTCACGTTTCCTTCTGTTCTATAGTATAAAGGAAAACTAGCTTGATAGTTTATGATGCTTTCTGAAAATATCGATTCGATTTGTAGCTCTTATTATGTGAGTCAAGTTTTCTTCTATAATATCAAATCTTGTGGGGAAGGGAAAGTTCGTTAATTTATTTTATTTATTAAGATTTTTGATAAAAAAAAAAAGGGTGAAATTTTCTCTCTTTTAAAATCCACAGCCATGAAGAAGAGGAATCGCGAATGGATATTAACAAATTCGGAAAAGGTGAACCGTAAGATCAAGGGAATAGAATCTCCCGAAAAAGATGGCATAAAGAAATCCAAAGTGAGTATTGAGTACTGTGAGACGTCTTTATGGTTCAAAACTTAACCTTTTGCTTCGTTTTCTAACCATTTCCATTTCATCTTTACTTGTACTTTTGCTTTTTGTAGAAACAAGAAAGGCAGGACTGGTCCACGAGACTGGCTGTTACTGGGCCCATCACAAAAGATGAGGAGGAGGTTGTGGAGACTCTGTATGCCTTGGCTGGAATGTTCCCTCACAATGGCTCGAATGCAAGGAGTGAACTAGAGTGCGAATCTTTACCAGATAACTCCTCGGTCTTGCAGGACCATGAGAATGCTAATGCTAATTTTGAAGGTTATTCTCTCTCACACAACACTTTTCCAAGTAATTAATTTATGTATTTAAATTTCTAATTTTTTTTTGGTCATGTATTCTAGCGTCCGAAACTACTCAGGATGCTTGTCTTCTTCCAAAAAGATCACCTACAGGAGCTGCAAAAATCAGTTCTTTAAATGAAACCACTAGTCAAGAACAGACTGATTTTCCTGGGAATGCAAAGTTCTTGGTGGCAACTCACGGCACTACTCCAAAGACAAATTTGCAGGCAGTGCCTACGATGGTTGGTAGTGAAAACGGCAGCAAAGTTGCATTGCATGACTCTGAGCTGTGTCTAGAAATAGGGTGGGTAGTTTTACAGTTGCATTCTGAAATGTCTATTCTTTTAAAATCCTTCGTAGCTATTTACACGTTTTCTCATCGTGTTGCAGATTAAATGTACCCAGACAATCACAGATTTCACATAATGGGAGGCAACCAGATGTGGAATTTGAGACGGTAGCATTTCAGTTTTTACCGTTTGCAATAAAATTCTTGTTCTGCAAGCTAGTGGTAGTAGTACTAATGGTGTTATCGGTTTACATTTCAGGCCAGAGGCATTGATGGTAAGCAACAACAACATGTGATCAAGTACCAAAAAGAGAATGGTATGCTTGAGGATGTAATGTGCTTGTTACTAGCAATGAATTTTGTTATTTACATGACTGAAGTATTTCATTGGTTGGCTGACACCTGGACAACTTTGGTTGTTTTATCAGAAGGTCCAGCATTGTGGCCAGGCTTGTCTCCAAGTTCATCATCTGCTGGGATTACTGCTTCTTATATGCAGTAAGTTTCTTTTATTCCACTTCATTTTGACATTGTTGGGCAGCCTAATCTGCTTATCCAAATTTGATGGATTTTTCTCCCTCAGGTCTTCTGCTGCTCAAGCTTCGGTTTGGCAGAATGCTGCTATTTGTGCCTCCAAGCAGGACATAATGGAAAGGTGTTCTTCTGGTGGAAAGGTATGGAATTACAAGTTTATGCTTTTGCTGGTGTTTGCATGATTTACCTGTATAAAGGAAAAATTTCTTCATCCTAAATTCCTAATCCATGCTCAAACGCCTATTGGTTGTTTCCAATAACTAATGATGCAGATTGCGGAAATTGTTTTTCAAAAAAAGTCGTGGAAGAGGTGTGCAGCTCATGTTCATATCAGTCATCTCATCCGGAGTTTAGAAGTGCCAAAAAGACAGGTTGCTAAAGAACCTGAGCTTTATGAATGTCATCAAATGAGAGGACACCAAGGATCAAAATGTGGAACTCTAATGGAAGTGCACGACTTGAATGGGATGAGAAATGGAAATAGTTCTGCATCTGGAACAGTTCATTCTGCTACCACGAGGAATTCCCATGAAACCAAGAGTGGTATTCTTCTGCAGCAGTGCCATTATCATGACATATCTCAGGCTCCTCCAACACCTGGGGCGTATGGTCAACAAAAGCAAGTAAGCTTATGGATACTTTTGATAACGGTGCCTCCCCTTGCCCCCTCTTCCTCATGCCCTGATGACTGTCCATATTCTGCAGAGTTTCAACTTCTTGTCCTTGTCGGCAGGAGGCAATGGGTTCGAGGTCAACGATAGTTTTAATAAAGGTAGAAGCAGGTTGGAACCATTGTCAAAATCGCAAGTGCCTTATTTTCAGTCACTACAGCAGCAGCATGGGCTCATGCCAATACCTACGCCTCAAAGTCAGTATGCCTCCGCTTCTTACCTTGATCAGCTTCCTGCCGCAGGACCACAGGTTTTAATCTATTTATAGACTCCGATCAATCTTGTATTAACGGACTACAAAATCTAGGGCCAATAGCTTAAAGTGATTATATTGTTCGACATGATATGATTGAGGTGGTGAAAGTTTGTTGCCAACCTGCAGTTTATATCCTTCATATGACAACATCCATTGTCTTATTATGACGTTTAAGTGTTGTTTAACTGACTGCAGGTTCGGTTGCAGCAACCTCGTCTTTATGGTAGCTCGTTCTTCGGAACTCATTATGGTTCTACAGTTTCAAATAAACTACAGCACCAAAGCTTTTGGACGTTGCAACTAGCATCTCAAGGTAAGACTGCTGTAAATGGCAATATTTTGACGGCCCAATATCCTAATTGGCAAAGTGAGAGGCATGACTCTTCTGCAATGAGTCCATGTGCCCAAGTAACCCTTCCCCGTTCCCATGCATCGCTATAAGCACTGGGATCCAAGATCACCTCAATCTCTGAGCAACAGCTCTTTATCCTTGCTTCGTCATTGCCACCATCCAGGACAAATGGGCCGGACATTCATCTTCCTTCTGTATGTGAAGAAAGACAAGGCAGGTTCTGTATTATCGGTACCCCATCGCTTTGTGATGAGAGTATCTGAAATCGAAGACAAAAGTTTATTTTATGTTTGACAAGGCATGGAAAGTCCTTCATTCTTATAATTCTACATGCGCTGGTTTTAGTGCTACATCTGCCATTGATTAACTGCTGAGCATTCGAGGAAGGGGAAACATGAGTGCTGGTAGCTTAATCTGAAAGGATAACACTTGTAGCGTCATTAACCTGGGGCAACCCTACACTTCAAGTAAAATTAAAAAATAGACAACTTGTTTACTGTTAGTACTTCTGTATCTTCCCCAGTTCATCCTTTTGAATTTCTTATACTTCGGACTTGTAAATTCTCTAGTTATTATTTACATGGAGTGGTAATTTGCTCTGTGATGTAACAAGTCAGAAGAGGAATGAAATTAGCAATCCAAAAATAAAAAACAATGCAGGTTGAAAAGAACCTGAGCTTTTTATGCCAAGCAAGAATTACAAGGAGTTCATGGGCAAATCATCAGAATCCCCAAACAGCTATGACATTCTGCCGTAAGATAATGTTTCACTCTAGTTTTTCCAGTTCCTCCATTCTCTCAATGATCGTCTGCAGGCACTAAAATAGGTTTGTGATGGAACCAAGGTTGTATACGGCATATGATAGAACCGAGCTGAAAATAAATTTACACCCAGACTACTATTGTCATGACTCACTAGCAGCAAAACTTGCCGGAAAAAGCTACATAAGTCGCACAACTCAAGGCCTGGAGTCATAGGGCAACTTGCACGGCCTAAAGATTAGAATACTATGACATGGGGGAAAGGAGAAAAACATACACACATGTTAGCAATCACTGCAACAGATGACAATTGCAGTAATTCCAAAAGAATGCATACATTCTTGCTTGTTTCTTGCAGTTCACCCGCTAGGATGAATTCATCAAGTATAATATAGACCTTCAAGACAGATAGATAGGTAACTATATATGCATAGAAACAATATAATATAGTCTTAACTCTTAAGGAACACTACAATCATTAATCAATATATCATGATCAAAAGTCAAAACCACTCCAATCCAAATCCTCCCCTATCATGAACTTATGATATAAAAAAAATACGGAGGGGATGATAATACCAATGCGAAAGAAAAATACATTCCGCGTTGGATGTTAATGACTTAATGTGGGCTGTGAATGAAATCAAAGGTGAGACATCCTTAGAAAGGGGAATTACATAGCCAAACAACACATAGGTAATATAGAAAAGTGGCAGGTGACAATGAAACTGGGATTTCTATCAAATCAGGAGAGGTAACATGGTTAGCCAATATTCTCATACAAGCTCGAGTGAATGCTGCAGAAATCAAATTTGAAGCAGTATGCTAAATAGAATTTCACACAGTTATTTTTATTGCAAAATATACAGATAAGCATAGGAAGCTTTAGTTAGGTCGCATAAGAACAAATATACAATCAAGCAGCACTGTGGAAGTTGATCCAAGTATTTGCTGCAGAAGAAAACCAAGACATGATTTATTACCTCGTATTCGACCATATGCTTCTCGGAAGCCTCGAGAGGAACGTAGTATTTGGCAAGACAGGTCTTCCCCTGCCTCTGATTATTCGAAAAGGGAGTGTCTATTTTTTTTTAAAGAAAATCGTCAAAATCAAAATTCGGGTTCAAGAAGCAATGACGTTTAAATGAAATAGATTGATCACCGTTTCAAAATACGCTTTCCTTCCGAAGGTCCCCTTCAGTAGAATTACGAAGAAAGAAAGCTAGTCTTCTTGAACCAGAGCCAATGAATTTGATCTTCCCCTTTAACACGGGGCCATCGCATTGCGATAGATGCTTCTTTGAGTATATTATATCTACTGTGACAATATAAATATAGTTTTAATTTAATTTTTCATTGAATAAATAATGACTTATTATTGACAAATTATAGTGGATACAATAAAGATAATTTTTCTGGATATATGAAATGGAAGCAACAACCAAAAGAAAACTACATAGATAAATTTATTCGGCAAAAAAATTAATTTATTACTTTTTTAATAAAAAATTACGAATAAGTTGTCGTTTTGTAAAAAATTACGAATCTATAGCACCCAAACACGTCCACATGGGGCATGTTCTGATGGAGAAAGACTAGCCCATGTGGGGCGTGAGCTTGTGAAGGAAACATGCCCAAGTTAGGGCGTGTGCGACAGGAGAGAGACACGCCCATGTGGGGCGTGAGCTTCTGACCAAGACACGGCCAAAGTAGGGCGTGTTCTAGGAGAGAGACACGCCCACGACAGGGCGTGTTCTCCGCGGTGTATATAAATCCGTTTTTCACTTTTTTACCTCATTTCCACCCTCCCATCGTCTCTCTAAACCTCCTCCTCCTCCTTCTCTCTAAATTTCTTTTGGAGGGTTTTGCGCAGCGAAGCTCTGTCTCTCTCTCATGTAAGTCCCTATTTATTGTTTATTTTTTTTATTAACAGCAATTAATATATGATAGTTATTAGCGACTTAGATAATTGTTAAGGGGTTAAAAAACACACAGTTGACGCTTAACCAAAAACTACAATTATTTAATTCACCAATCATAGTGTGCAACATACCTATATTCATCAGGCTAGCCTTCAATTTGTCATTTCTAAATCGTTGATTAAAATTGCTTGCAACATGTCGCAGACAAAAAACATGAAATGCATGGGGTGGCTGCCATAGGGGATTATTTTCAACAGCCGATAATATGCTAACATGTCGGTCTGAAATTAGACATATATTATGCGCTTGAGTGACGTGCTGACGAAGATTGGCAAGGAAGTATGACCAAGCCTCCAATGTCTCACCCTCAACAACGGCAAATGCAAGTGGCACACATTCATTATTACCATCTTGAGCTGTGGCAATCAATAACTTTCCCTTATATTTTCCGTATAGATGAGTGCCATCAATTTGTATCATTGGTTTGCAAAATTTAAATGCCTCGCAACATTGTCTGAAAGTCCAGAAACAACGAACAAATACACGTTTTTCGGTAACCAACTGGCCCCCAACAAAACAATCCTTTGTTTGAATATTGTAAAAGGAACCTGGTGAAAATCGAAGCATATATTCACACCAGTTGGGTAAAAATGCATAGGACTCCTCCCAATCACCATATAACATTGTCATTGCTTTCTGCTTCGCATACCATGCCTTTCGATATGAAACTTTGAATCCATATGAATGTGTTATCCTCTCCTGAACGAGCGAAATGGCCACTGAAGGTTCCTTTTTTATCATCTCTGAATTACAAAAGCTGGATATAAACATTAACAGAACAACAGGTATATCAACTGCAATTTTAATCAGCTTTTTAATTTGAAATTACGTACCTACTACAAGTGCTGCAATAACGTCAGAATCAAGTTGTCGATGATCTTGAGAAATATGGTCATTCAAGCAATTGTGCTTCCCTCCCCATTTCATTACCTTCCAATTTTCACCATACGTTGGTTTAATTACCCTGACCCTCCACGGGCAACCTTGGACGTGTGCACAACATTTCATGCTTAATTTTGTGGGAGTGCTCTCAACCACAATTGCTTCTTGATGCTCCTTCATGAGGTAGCGCTTGATTGCCATCTGAGCCTCTTTTTTGGATGTAAATTGTTGGTTAACAAACAACTTTTCTCCCAATTGCCAAGGACCTTGGATTGAACCCGAACTCTGCGTCCATGATTGTGCCTCACTCGGATAATCCCAATCAATATATGTGTAATGTAGAATTTTTTACCAAAAAGGATCAACAGGTGCATCGCCTACAAGTACTACGTAATAATAATAGAATTGAATTATTTTCTTAATCAAAAATTGCAACAACCAAAATGTCAGTATATTAATTGATAACATACCTTCAGGATGTTCTGGTACTTGACTCGATGTTGTGCCATGATGTACAACGATACGAGACTCCCCCAAATCATGCAATGGTTGAAGTTCAGTACCAGACCTGCCACATTCTTCGTCATTGTCCGATTCACTCGCATCCTCTAAAAGAAGACGATCTTCTATTGCAATATTTTCCTCATCATCTTCGTCATACTCCTCATCCATAACCCAAGTAGGGTCATGTTCATCTTCCTCAGACATGTTAACAGCAGGAACAGCAGATGATTATGCATTAAGAGGAGAAGTAGACCTAACTGACCTCATTGGTATGACAACTTCCTCCGCAGTTGTAGTATCCACATACAACTCTAAGAAATCCTTTCTACACTGGTTCAAGAACTCTTCCATTACCATATCGATGTCTTCGTCATCGACCACTTGCAAGCTAATGTATTGTTCACATTGCCATAACCTTGACGTGACAAGAGTGATCAATTGGTTGTCTTGAAGACATAATTTTTGACGTATTTTCTGATGCAGCTCAGCAACCGTTGAGTTTCGTTTAATACGTGATGGCCTTTTCTCCCCTAAAAAAATAACACCACGACAACCTTCTTCTTTCCTACCGTTAAAATATAGAACAACACGAATAGTATCAGAATTCGCACTCATTTTTAAAATCAAAATTTTAAAAGATAAAACAAAATATGAGTAAACAAGTGCAAACTATCAGAGAGTTTAGCATAACAATGACAGAATTGTGAAGAGTGTGTAGAGGGTGGGTGTTTAAATAGCAGTCAGTTTAGTCACTCACGCTCATATTTGGGCGTGTCTACCCACTGAACACGCCTTATCCTAGGCGTGACCACACACGCCCTACGTTGGGCGTGTTTCCTTCACAAGCTCACGCCCCACATGGGCGTGTCTCTCTCCATCAGAACACGTCCCATGTGGGCGTGTTTGGGTGCTATAGATTCGTAATTTTTTGCAAAACGACAACTTATTCATAATTTTTTATTAAAAAAGTAATAAATTAATTTTTTTGCCAAATTTATTCCTTGGAACTCCAGAATAATTCATGATATTTTTGAAAATTTCATTTTTTTTCTTATAATATATATATATTTTTTAAATATATATTTTTCCTAAATTTCAAAACGACTATCTTATGAAAGAATAAATCTGTTTATTCTTGAAACCTGTTTTTTCTTGATAAACATCATGATTTTTTTTTTTTTAACGAAATTCCACAAATTCTACTTGGCATAACTGAAAGCATTTTATTTTATTTTTCTTTTCATCACTCTTTTTAGCAAACCCTTCGTGACTCTTTAGTAGAATAGATTTCATACCAAGTAATATTTGCTCAAATTTTTTAATGAATATGTGTGTAAAAATGTATTTTATTTATTTATTTCTTGGTGATGATGTAAATATGTATTTAAATCCATCAAAGTTGTTAAGAGCGTTTGGCAGAGGAGAAATTTTTTTTTATCCGAAAATCTCGATTGTCAGAAATATAATAAAAACATTTAGTTTACGATAATATTCAAAAATTAAAAATTTAAAAAAATTTAATTTATCAGAAATCCCATAAAATACCTTATACCAAATGCCCGTTAGTTTCATATGTCGTTCTATGTACCATTAAGGTGTCACTTAGCATAAAGGCATAGATTACTTGGTGAATTCGCAAGCGGACTGCAGTGCATATTTAATCTTTCGAGGAAGGGAATCAAAAGATTCTATATTGAGCATCTCCCTTTCCAAATGCTTCTTTAAGACAAGTCCCAGTGGGGAAACAAAAGACCTGTGGGGCTCATGAAGTTGGCCAGTTCTGCTAAATATATATATAAATTTTTTGGGCCGTTTTAGGTCCAACACCCATAGTTACAAGATTCAGGAGCATCCACCCACCGCCTTCGCCCTCAGACAAAAACCGAATTCTAGTGAAGTGGAAGCGAAGAAACGAAGCTTCCAATCGTCATGTGATATATGCCAATCCTAGTAATTAAATCCTACTTGTAACCAACCCATCTCATTGTTCACTCTCTCTCTCTCTCTCTCTATCTAATTAAAAGGCAACCTTGTGTGTTGTTTCAAACTCCTTCCCTTTGAAACTAACACCATTTTCTGAGAGTAAAAGCAACATAAACATGAATAAGAATAAGAAAGATGGTGTCATGCTGGTCACAAAGGCAGAGATAGACACAAGAGCGCCTTTCCGGTCCGTCAAAGAGGCTGTCTCATTATTCGGTGAGAAAGTTCTAGCTGGAGAAGTCTATGCAACTGCAAGCAAGCTCAAACAGGTTCTATACATCACTTTATTAATTATCATAAACCATTCCTCGATTACTTCAATTATATATAGGGTTCTTATGCAGTTAATTTAAGTTATCGACGTCATTTTGAGACAGAAAATCATGTATTTTTGTAATTTTAATTATTTCAGAGTTATTATAGTCTTAATAATTAATTTTTAATATTTCAATCTCAAAACGACGTCGTTTTGGGAGTAAATGCCGATAACGTATATGCAGTAACAGCAGAAATATTTTTCTATTATATATATATATATATATATATATATATAGTTTTAATGTTTCTAAAGTGAATGTAGATAAGTTATCTACATTCGCTTCCAAAACAACGTCATTTTAGGTTGAAAAATTAAAAAATTATAATGAAAAAGACTATTATAACCCTGAAATAAATTATAATTACAAAAAATACCTTGATTTTTGTCTCAAAACGACATCGATTTAAACTCAATGGAAATAAGTTATCTACATTGACTGTAGAAAAAGTGAACTATATATATATATATATATATATATATATATATAGGGGCAGGATATTCTTACACCGGTGTAAGAGTTAGAAGTCTTACACTCAATCTTGACCATTGATCCACTTGTATCCAATGGCTCACATAACTAAAAAATTAGAACCCTTAGATATAAGTTGGATCAATGGACAAAATTAAGAGTGTAACTTACACTGGTGTAAAATGATCCTGACCCATATATATATATATATATATATATAGAGTTTTGCATCTCTCCTTTGACCGCAAAGTTTGAAAATTTGCCGCTGACATAAAAACATGGTGGGTCCCACCATTTTTAAAAAATAAAAAAGAAAAAAAATAATGATAAGTGTGTGGCAGAAGGAAATCACTTCTGCAGTGACAGCAGAAGTGATTTCCCCATATATATATATATATATATATATCAGTGACAGCAAAAGTGATTTCTCCTTTTTTATATATATATATATATATATATATATATATATATATATATATATACCAATTAATCTACACCCCAACTTATATATGTATGTACACATTACCAATTAATCTACACCCAACTTAGAAGAGTTGTACAAGACTGCTTTCATTTGTTAGATTTTCCAGCGACGCATAGTCACCAATCGTATGAGCCTTAAATTTCTAAATTATTATAACCTTTAACCTGTGGTTTAATTGAATCTCAAGTCCCAAAAATTCGCCGACAAGAGGAATTCAGAACATTAATTTTTCTTAAAATTTCATATTAATAATTTGCTCAAATCTTATGCTTGCTTGCAACATGGGGAAAAAGTGGTTATGAAGTTGAAGACTGTATCATGTGCTTGCTTGTTTTTGTGTATCTTGCTTTCTTTATCGTGTCATGGAATAAAGACAGTGAAAAAAAATATTAATTTATGCTTTTATATTTTACTTTTGTACATACAATACACCTTAATTATAAATTGTGTATCTTAATCTTCACCTCACTTATAATTAATAATTTTTACTGTTCCATGTGTATATACATATATAAAGAATTTTGTTAGGTTAATTGCTTGTGTGCAAATGCATTTGTAGATGCACAGTGGATCAAATGGAAAAGGCCTTGAGTCTTCGAGAATCGAAAATGTTGCAGCTGAGTTAGAGGAGACACGAGAAAACCTGCAAAGGGCTAGGGAGGAAAGCATGTTAATGGCGCATTGCCTGTCTTCTCTCCAAGATGAGCTTGAACGTACAAAGCAAGAGCTCCAACAATTGAAGCAACGGGAAACCGAGAAACATCCAGTGGAATCGGAGATCGAAGATGTTAAGTTTGTTGAGAATTTAACAACGTTTGAAGTCAAAAGTTCTAGATTCGATGAAGAAAAGATGGAGTTCCAAAAGAAAAGGTACGTGACGTTCGCGAATCCGCCCTCTGTAACTCATGTAATGATACCACAGGGACAGGGGGTTGAAAAGTTGGAAAGGCACCCTTCTCTCAGGAAGAAGAAGAAGATGTCATTGATTCCACTGATTGGAGGTCTTTTTTCTAGGAAAAAGGGAAGCCAAGAAGTTCCATGACTCTATTTGAATCCTATAAAAGTACCAGAATAATTTCAAACAACTGCATTTTGTTTACAAGTTTCCTTTTATTTTTCAACAAATACATTTTCATGTCCTCTGTATCAGACAATGGCAAGTAGCCCCTATAATATAGGTCAACTGAGATGCGACAAAGCAAACTAGCGGAATATGGGTGTGTGATATTGAGTATGATTCATGTAATAAAGCACCACAATTACAATTTCAATCTCCTTTTTATTCACACCCATAAGCCCCAAAAAACAATATTATTTCATTAACAAAGAGGGGACCTGATAATTCCAATTCAACCCCCTCCAAACACCACTAAGCATTTGTTATTATTATTCCTCATTATACCAGGGTTGAAGCATAATTGATAAATTGAAAAACAAAACATAAAAGAAGCCAATGAATTGAATACATATACATTCAATCTCTATAGCATATGCTCGGAAGGAAAAATAATATAGGATTAACAAACCATATATGATGGCCAACCAAAGTTTTGAATTGAAGATCGCAGGCATAGGGTGTCAAAGGTTGTCAGTCTCAGACAACATCAGATTTTTGACCATCGAAAATGTCATCTTGTGCTGACTTATTGAAGAACTCAATGCAATCTGCAATGGCCTCATTGTAATGCGAGTAAGAGGAGTAATATGAGCTGCATGAAGTCTTGGGCGGTTCAAACCGGTCAGAGTTTCTGTGACTTGAATCCGATGACCTGAGTATGATGCGCATGAGGAACTTGCGGAGGCGGTGAAATAGCTTTATGACTGAGAGGTTCAGCTTTGGCCGTCGATGAGGGATTTGGTCAAGGGCTTCTTCGGTAGCAATACCTCCTCTTACTTGTTGTATGACAACGAAGCTCTCTAGTGTTCCTCTTTGTGGCTTGTGTTTGTGCATTTTTTTCTCCCTCCCTGATTTGGTTTCTTGAGGGTATATATACAAAAGGGTCGGTGAGCATTTCAAAGGTTAAGATTATATTCCATATTGGAAGTTCCATGTGCCCAAATCATTTGTATGGCCTTCCTGTCCTCCCAATCTGGTTTGTTTGCTAAGTTTTCTTGATTGCGTTCAATTAACATCTTAAGCTAATTTATCAGTAGCAATATTACTCTGTTTAATTAATCCGTGGCAGAATCGGGCGCTTTGGATAGAGCTAAAATTTGATCATTTCATGTGTACTGGCTATGTTTATTAAAAGAGGAGGCGAATAATGACTGATCCACTTTGCCTCCTATATAAAACCTTGATGGATCTCCAACAATAATCATTTGTAACATATGTGGAACCCATATAACATGTCCAACGTTAAAGCAAATGATTTTGAGCTAATTCCTCTTTTCGGAATTTTATTTTATACACATTCAATCCTGCAAAACTTTTTGAGACACACGAATACACATAAGGTATTATATATAGGGAAATATAGTTCTTTCTTGCTCCAAATTTTTATTTCATTTTTTGAAACAATAGATTATAACTATGCATTACTAAGATTATATAGTTATAATCGGAAAACTACTTTTTTTCCTCTTCACGTCAATAGAGAACTTCTGAATAAAAAAAAAAAAAACTTTAAAATTGTAACTATATATTTAAGAGAATATATAATTATAATCGATTGCTGCAAAAAAAAAAAAAATTTTGCAGCAACATAAGAAAAAAGAGACCTTAAATATATGGGTGCGTCTTTTACACTGTTGCTGCAAGGAAATTTTGTTACAGCAACCGATTACAACTATGTACTATGGGTAATACATATTTATAATAATAAAGTTATTTTTTTTTAGATTACCAAAAAAAAAAGTTATTTTTTTCTCTTTTCGAACATTGTCGGCTGATATGACGGAGAGAGAAAATATAATTTTAACATTATAACTATATACTACTCATAGTACATAGTTAAAATCGTTTGTTGTCTGCGGTGAAAGGAGAAGTAGATTTCCCTAAATATACAGTCACAGTTTATTCCTATATCATCTTTTTTATTGGAGTAATTTGTTATATGAATAATTCTTTATCAGCATAATACTAATCTTACTCTTTGTTTTGGTGAATTTAGTTATTTAAATAATATGGTATTAAATATTTTTCATTCTTAAGACATTATTTAATACTAGTTATTTTAAGTAATTGATAGAATCTAAGAAAATTCATTAGAAAGATATATCATTAATCATTCTCCAAAATATGAATTCGATAATATTGGTTAGTTATCTCGTTTCCAAATTTAATTAATCTATTTATTGTGTCATGAAAGAAAAAGCCCAAATTTATTCCATTAATCAATACATGGCTAATTAAGTAGACAGATTGACTCTCTGCCAAAGAAAGGTTAATTGAACCAGGTATTGGATAGTTGTAAATGAGTGTTAGCTCAACTAGTATAATTAAAAAGCGTGAACAAAAAAAAATCTCAAATTTCATTATTGCTAGTAAACATTCATTACTAGATATATTACTATAGGCTTTCTTAAACTTTACAACATGGCATAACTTCACATTAGAACAATCCCTCTTCCTCTAATAAACTTTAAAATTAGGTACATAAAGATGGATATAACAAATTATTTGAAGTACCCATACAAATATACAATTACAACTCTCATCCACATATACGAGAAAGCTCAAGGACCCAAAATCTATTATCCTCCTGAAAGAAGCCAAACGATCACTATTAATATATTGGCACTCGTACATCGCTGGCCACAAAATGTATTTGTTCTCTGTTATGTTGAATTAATCATTTATTTATATGATCAAGAGGATATGATTATTTAGCAATTAAACAGTAGGTTAGAAGACAAGGTTATAATGATTGGCATTCTTTTTGGCAAGTTTTGGCGGAAACAATGGAATTCCTATTGATGGAAGTTGATATGCATAGTTTTACAGGCATAGTGGTCCAAACAAAATGGCTTAGAATGCTTCTGTCATAGCAAATTAATCTGTGGACATATTTATATATAGATGGGTTATAGAAGTTAAAAAGTAATGGCTTCCCTTTCACCTATATATCCTCTGATAGGAAAATTTGGAAGGATGTAAAACGTGATGTGATAATGAATGCGAATCATTCAGCTTTCTGACTACGAATTTAATCATTTAGAGTGAAGGTTGGAGGTAATCATGATTGATTTGTAAGACATTATGATTGTGTCCTGTACTTGTTTCCTCTAAAAATAGTCGTCAAAACAGGATGAGGCATTTCCGCATAACAAATACATTTAATTTTAATAAAGTAGTTTGATCAATGAATACAAACGGAGGAAAACAGAATTACTTTTCCTTTCAATTTTACAGTTTTTTTTTTTTTAACAAAGGAAACTAAAAAGTTAACAGCATCAGGTGTTAAATAAAACAAGGATTTTATAAGAGTTATGTTGTAGAAAAAGTGATTGTGTATTGTTATAGAGATTCATTTTGCGTGCCGTAGTTTTTTTTTCTTCAAAATGTGTGGGGCCCACAAAATATTATGTGTGTAGGAAAGTTTGTTGTGTCATGTTAAATGACAAATGCAAACCCATAAAACAAAGTACATTACTTTGATACTCTTTTTGGGAAGGTAAAGATTTGGTATTTAAGGTAAATTATTAAACATTTAATAAACAATTACCTATATTCAATATTTTTTAAATCTTTATTCTATAATTATTAGTCAATTAACAATTGACAATCCGTCTTACATGTACTAATTTAACAAGGATAGCATAACAATTCCTAAAACAAAAATTACATATACGATTTTCGTTACTCACTCATGGATTTTTCAGTCTGATATCACTTCTATTTTCACATCCTACATTTCTTTTTATTAAATGATAATACGAAAAAAAAAACATTCAATGCGTTTTAAATAAAAGAAATCTAAATAAGAAAAGCAAAATACAGAAAATGAAAGAAAAAATATAGAAAATATATAGGCAAGTAAGTAGTAAGGATACTAAGGGTAATGCTTATGATCTTGAATGCCTCGAGTACAAATTTATTGAAGAAATCATTAATGAATGACCACTTTTCTCAAATCCATATCTAACTTCAATATGAAAGCACTTTTATTAACCACACGCTAAAATAAAATTCACGAATTTTTTTTTTTACACAAGATAAAAACTTATTGAAATTAATTTATTAGTAAAAATATCTTTTTAAGATAATTAAAACTTAAAAATGAATATTTTTCATAATTTGAACCGTTCTCAAACAACCACAAATATGCATTTCTAGCAATAAGAAAATGTGGAAGTGGAGGGGCCCAATAACGATTCCAGCCCATATCAAGTTCGGACAATTGTAAACGGCGATAGAGATATGGCAAATAGTTTGCTAGTTTGTGTTATGCTTGGATTATAAGCCTGGTCATATTTTAGAAGCCCATATATAGAAGAATTGATTTGATTTGATTTGAATTGAATTAACTGAGTAAATATTAATGGACGACATTTACCCATAGAATAGAAGGGAGGAGGAGCCCAAATAGAAGGGAGGCCCAGAGTGGAGAGAAAAACAAAAGGCGGGGTGGCGTGCGCATTCGAACTCAACTCACCGCTTCTGTTGGCGGCCTCTCAATCTCATGACTCATCACTCGCTCAGTCCCAAACACATACTCATAGTCATACTCATATCAAATCAAACTCTCTCTTCATCTTGTCTTTGCTATTGCTGCTATATATATAATAGCATTAACCCCTAACTCCTCAGTTCTCAGTTCTCTCTCTCTGTTGGTTTGGTTTGGTTCAGTTATAAAGTGTTAATGTCGACTTCGGGCGAGGATCAACCCCGTCCGCGTCATATATCTCAATTCAAATTCGAGCTATTGCGCCCCCCTTCTCACTTTCATCACTCTCCTTTTCCTGATATTCCCGTGAGTTTTCTCTCTCTCTCTCTCTCCATTCTTTTCTATTTCTCTTTTTCGTTCTTTAACTCGCACCGCACGCATTCATATGCTTTTGCCTCTATTTCGATTGTCCTGCGAATTCATTCTTTTTGCATAGCGAATGCTTTTCTTCTTTGAATGACAGGATCCGATCACGTTTTTCTCTTGGATTCCAATAACAGAATCCGATCATTTTTTTTTATACTTTGCTCCGTTCCGTGTACATTGCACTTATATTTGTTGATTTATTGTTCTTAATATCATAACATCTTTTAAGTTGTAAATATCAAGTGTAATCTGTTCTGCTCCAATTATTATTATGAATTATAGAATAAATAAATAAATAATCACACTTGCCGAGTTGGACTTGGAAAGTTTATTAGGGCACAAGCATTCAAGTATGGAAATGGTTCTTCCGGTGCACAGAATTTGAGGTGGATAATAATTCATTCATGCACCGTGTTAGAACTGTTTTAGGCTTACTGGAGATGAAAACGAAGAGTTTTTAGGAAACTCTGTGCTTTCTTTTTGGTTTCTGTTCTATTCTCAACTCACCTTTTGCTAGCAATGCCCTTGTATTGACTTTGACCTTTAGCTGGTCTTCATACGTATTGAAATTGGCTCTGCTCCGAGAAGAGTTCCCAGATTGGAGGCCCTACTCGAGACTTGGGAACTTGGCATTTGGCGAGGAGGGAGGCCTCTCTTGTCTATGGGCGGAATTCACCTTCCTTGCCAGCCTGCCGTGTCTGTGGCCTTTCCCCGTGATCTCTTTATCACCACTACGCCACTCACTATCACTACCTGTGGGATTTTAGCTCTGAATCACCCCACATTCTCCTAACTGTCACCAAGGCCTCTATAAAAGCTGGTAGGGATACACATGCTTATATTTGAGCACTTTATTACGAGTCTTACATTGGTTGTATAGGCAACTAATGGGGGTTTATAAGACTTTGAGCACTCCCATCCTTTGAGTTAGCTTTTGGGGTGATGACCTCAAGGTCCGTAACAATTGGTGTTTTCATTGAGAGTTGAGGCCACGAAAAAAGCTACCTATAGGCTGGATTAAGGTGTCATACCTCCCAAAGAGGTGTTGTACTGAATATTGATAGGTGAGTAAAGCCTCCAAAAGAAAAAAGGGCCATCATCATGTCAATGTCGATAGAGTGAAAGCCGTCGTAGACGTCGGCCCTTAAAAGGGGGAGACAATGTTACGAGTCCCGCATTGGTTAGGGGGTGGCAATGCCCATGTATCGACTTTGACCTTTAGCTGGTCTTCATACGCATTGAAATTGGCTCTATTCCGTGAAGAGTTCTCAGATTGGAGGCCCTACTTGAGACTTGCGAGCTTGGCGCTCGGCAAAGAGGGAGGCCGCTCTTGTCTATGGGCGGAATTCGCCTTCCTTGCTTGCGTGTCGTGTCTCACCAACCCATGTCGTGGCCTTTCCTCATGATCTCTTTATCACAACTACACCACTCGCGATCCCTACTTGCGGGATTTCAACTCTGGATCACCCCACATTCTCCCAACTGTCACCAAGGCCTCTATAAAAGGCTGGTAAGTAAGGACACACATGCTTATATTTGAGCACTCGCTCCCCACTACGGTCCCAAGCATACTCACATTCCTCGTGTGTACACGCACATATTTGATTGTTCCCATCGGAGTGCTCACCGAAGATCTTGATTCATCCATTATCAGACATCACTACCCCTTCTCTGATGATAGAAACACCAACTTCTACCAACTGGACATTACCAATTCAACCCAACTGAATAGGCTCAGTATAACTTATATTTGAATTGATTTTTTTCCGCTCAATTGACCCTTATCCTTATGTTGGCTGAAGCTTTAAATATTAGAAACATAATTTGCAGAATAAGTATCAAGCAAATATTAGTCCTTGTTCCTCATGCTTTCAATGTTTACATATCTATGCAGTTGAGTCAAAGATATGAAGCCAACAATTTCAAGTCTCACACAAGTAATAACGAAGTTGCTCGTTCGAGCAAAACAGTTAGTCTTTCTCCTCCACTTCAAACCGAGCCTAGCATAAGAGGGAAGCATCATGGTAAACCAAAAGTTTCAAGAAATGCAAAACTTGGAACTCACAGATCAAATACCGGTAACAGTCTTTTAGACTATGATTCTGTCAAACTGTGCATTAATTTATATATCTATGTCTCACAATATTTTTAATTTTTTGCTTGGATTTTATGTTGGGTGGATTTTCCCTATCAGAATCTCCTAACGTGACTGCAGTTAACAACTGTCGTTATGACAGTTCCTTAGGTATGTCCACACTCATAATATTTTCTCCTAGGATCCACTTTTTATTTGCACCAGTAGTTTGTATTCCTCCCATGATGCTCTTTTAAGGAGGTGTCTTCATTAATGTGGCTCTTCTTATAATGGACAATTATATCATGTACCGTTTGGCAGGATTGTTAACCAAGAAATTTGTCAGCTTGATCAAGAATGCTAAGGATGGTACCCTGGATCTAAATAAAACCGCTGAGATCTTGGAGGTATAGAAAATGTCTTTCATTGTTTACATGGCTTTTTTTGAATTTTTCCTCTGGTCCTATTAATTTAAACTTTCCCACTAGTGCTATTAGTATAATAGATTTCTACTTACTGGCATTTTTTTTTTTTTTATAATACTTCTAACATTAATTTTGGTAGGTTCAAAAAAGGAGAATTTATGACATTACAAATGTTCTTGAAGGAGTAGGATTGATAGAGAAAACTTCAAAGAATCATATACGGTGGAAGTAAATAGCTAATCTTTTGTTCGTTACTTTGTTTCTTTTTATCATACGTATGATATGATGATACACAGTGGACCTTATTAACAGGGGATGTGATGGAGTCGGGCCACGAGAACTAGATGATCAAGTTAATAATCTAAAGGTTTCTGGATTCTTTTTACTTGTCAGTTAGTTCAGATGTATCCTATAATTCCTACTTTTACACAGCTCTCATGATTGCTTTGGATTGTAAACATCTCCACTTAGTTTATTCTGGAGACCATATTGGTGAAACCTTACTTTAATTCTTTTGAAGCCATGGGTTACAGGAATCTCGGATGTCTTCTTGGCATCACATTCCTAATAATCTGATTAGACATTGCACCTAGGAATCTTTGTTTTCTATATCTAGTATGAAAAAAATGGAAGTTCTCCAAAACCCCTTGGAATATATGGTATCCATGTCAAAAAAATTTGTTGGTAATACAGATCAGGTTGTGGAGGATGAAAAAAGTGGTCAAAATAAAATTCAAGTTGCTGGCAATAAGGTGCAACTTGAGCTACTTAAGGCTTTGTTCTTGAAGCCAAAAGAAAAAATTTGGGCTGCGTTGGCATCCAAGATGATCACTTGTTTGCATGGATATCTGTATTCTGTAACCTTAAGCTTGACAAGTTGCTGAATAGCTTAAGTGTCTCTAACATTATATGATATGATGCTTCTTAATTTAGATTCTTGGATGAGGCAAAATCTAAATGCCACATGACTTGGAATCGTGACTTATGAATTATGGTACTATTTAAATAGGGATCAGTTATATCGTGACATGATACGATGCATCAATTGGTCTCCTGCTTCTACCTTGGATCATATATACCTATGCCATTGAGTAGGAGAGATTACAGCAAGCTTCCACTTGAGCTTTGGACTGATGCAATTTATCATCAGTTTAATTATAATTTTAAATGAATGTTGCTTGTAGGATTTTAGCACCACCTTTAATGAAACAATGTACTGCAGTATGCAAATAACTTGATCCAACTCTTGACAATTTGGTTCTATACAGGCTGAAGTTGAAAGTCTATATGCTGAGGAATGCGAACTTGAGGATTGTATAAGGTTTGCTAGTAATATCGTTTATGGAAAATTTTCTGATGGTTGACCTATCTGTTTTTTAAACAATTATCATGTTAGTTTCTCAGGAAAAAGCAGGAGCTTCTAAGAAACCTGGGGGAAAGAGAAAACTCTCGGAAGTATGAACTTATGACAACTCGTCTTATATTTGAGTTGCAGTTACTTATTGTTTCTTTACGTGATAGTGCGCTTGCTTTATCATTAGGTACCTTTTTTTGACCAAGGAAGAGATTCTTAGCCTTCCATGCTTCCAGGTACATTTTCTCTACATATTGAAAATTTTGTAAAACTAGTTTATTCTTTATCACCACTTACTTTTATATACTATTTTCACAGAATCAGCAACTTATTGCAATCAAGGCTCCAAAAGCTAGTTTCATTGAGGTCCCTGATCCTGACGAGGTGGGTTTCTACTGATATGGATGTTAAAATATGTTTGGTATAACAAGTTTCTAATTGACTCCTCACTCAAATGAACAGGAATTAGGTTTCCAGCAAAGGCAGTATAAAATGACTGTTAGAAGTGCCACTGGACCAATATCTTTGTACCTCTTGAGGTACCTCTCTTCTGTAACAATGCAGCCAAAAGTTGCTCCTCTCTTTGTTACTCTGTTCTCTCCGTGCTTGCTTGTTAATATCCTCCTTTTTCTTCTGTGTCTTAAGTGTATAATAACTCATCGTTTTTCTGCTCGAAGCAAGCACGACCGCAAATTTGAGGATGATAGTGTCAAGCGGGTGAAATTCATAGATCCATCATGGAATAGTGACCACTGCAGAATGGGGGGTGTGGGATTATTAGGAAGCTCAGATGACCAGAAAAATCCTTCTGAGAGTTTAAGTTCGCTCAACTCAGAGGCATTTGGAATTCAAGAAATTACTCCAACGATTTATGATGTATGTATATTTTGAAGCTCTGAATGATTACTTGAAAACCAAAATCTGGAAAATAATAATAATAATAGTAATAAATTCAGGTCATTGAGTTGATTCATTTATTTATTTATTTGCAGATACATGATGACTATTGGTTTCATTCAGATCCTGAAGTGAGCCTAACAAAATTGTGGGGTACAATATATTCTAACTAATCTTTTCAGTATATGAATTTGATTCTTGGATTTAACCCTATGTGAGGATGCAAGTTGACCAGTTTGAAAGCTCCTGGTTTATGAATGCTCTTTTTTTCTATGTTCAGAAAATGAGCAGTTGGTTCAGGTAGATGAGCTTCCAGACGATTAATCCAATAGGGGTGTGGCATTGGCTAAAAAATAAGCATCACTGACAGATGTGTTCAATAAGTACGTGAGATTGGCTGCTAATTGTGCAGATGACACAAAGGGTACACATTCAAACTGTAAATGTTAGCTTTTTTTTTAGGGGGGCACTCTTTAACAGCAGCTGCCTTAACCATGGTGACTGTATCCAATAATATAGCTTTTTCTTTTTGAACAACATTATGAGATTACTATAGAATGGAAAAGTTACATATCTTCTTTCTACTTTAACTTGTACAGACAAAGCTACAATTGTTTTCCAACTACTACAACTTTTGTGAATAAAGTTGCAATTCTTCTATTAGTGTAGTTTTTTATCAACAAAATTGCAAATTTTAATTTATTTTCTCGTATTCTCATATTTCAAATAATTTATTATGACTTTCCTAATTTTTTGTTAAAAACAATCTCTCCTATCATTATGCATATTTCAAATATATTGGCATTAATTACAGAATTTAATTCTATATAAAATAAGAAACTATCATTAATCATATTTGAAGTCAATGCATTCATAAGCCAGACTTTAGCTTTAAACAACTTCCGTTATGGACTTTTTAACATTGGCGATCACTCAAGCTAATCTCTCATTCTCTTGTTTCATTTTGATTTGGAAATAGCGCCATTGTGCAAGATTTAACTAAACTCGAATGGATTTTCCAAGTTACGAGCTCTTCTGGGGAATCACACGAATGGAGCTTCGAAGTGCTTCTCTGAATACTTTGGGAGTGTTTTCTTTAAATAATCGTCTAGAACTTCGAAAGGAACAAGAGTCAAACAAGACAAAGAGTGACTGCCACGTATTACTTATGCATTTTTATAAGAGTTTGTAAACCTTTAACTTGAATCAAATTGATTTGATAAATTTGATTTTGATTAAGAGTAAATTTACAATAAAGTGATACAATAAAGTGATTAATATTTGATATATATATATATATATATATTGCAAATGTGACTTTGACAAATTTAATGTTGCTTAAGTATTGACAAAATTAATGTTGCTTAAATAATATTTGACCAATTAAATGCACAATCGCCAAAAAAAAATTGAATTTAAATTATTTTGTCCACTACTTTATTTTGTTTCACTATTTTTGTTTGTCATGGTACATTTCTTTTACTTATTTAAAGCGAATGGTAAATATTTACAAGTTCAATGAAGTAATAATTATTATTATTGTCTAAAAAAAATTATTGATTATTTATTTATCCGAGCATTAGTATTCAAATAAAAAATACGGATATAATGTCAATCCCAAATGATATTGTGTAAGATTATGACTCTAGAGTTCTCCTTCAGACGGGGCTCAATATGCACCCGACTCAGAAAAGAAGAGATTTTCCATTGTATTTTAATTTCGAGTTTCAAGTCCGGATCTATAAATAGATGTCTTACTCAGATGTAAAAGATATCGAGTGAAGTGTGTGCTCTGTGTTGAAGTGTTCACAATGTGTATGTAATCTCTCTTTATTTGAAATAAAAGTGTTTTCATTTCTGAAAAAATAATCCTGCTATCCATTTCTCATTTCTTTTAGAAGTCTTTCGGGAATTTCCGAAAGGGAAATCCTTCTCCTTTCCTAAGGTACTACCATGTCCTTCTTAAAGATTTTATTTTAAGTATTTGTATAGTCTTCCCCTTGTTAGTTTCTCTTATGTATATCTCATAATATAAAATGGGTTAGGTAGTCTTGCCCCATCTGGTATGTTTAATTGTTCACCACTCTAGCGGAGCCAATAAGTGACTTACATAATTGAATTAAGGTGATGATTAGATCCATGATAAATGTAGTTAGGATAAGTAAACAATAACATAAACTTGCGGATAGGATGTAGAGCCTAACTAAAAATAAAAAATAAAATAAAAGACTATTTAAAAAAATAAATAATAAGTCTGGAATAGTCACATCTATATTTTTTTAACTTCAATTTCTAGACAAAATAACCTTTTCGTTTAAAAATTGAATATATATAAATATAAAGGGTTTTATACTTCTTATGTTACATGAGACGAACCTTTTTATATCATAGAGCAAAAATCGTGTAGAACCCATATGTTAAAAAAAGTCATGTGTAGGACTTATATCGGCACGAAAATCGAAAAAGTGTGTAAAAAAATTTCTCATCTTATGTTACATAAGAAATATAAAACATTGTATGTTTTAAGTTTCTACATGCTTCAGCACAACTGACAGTTTTATAAACTTTTTTTTGACACTGTTATGTTAATCCCAAACAGTTTTAATTGACTGCATCTAAGGATCTATTTAAACACTTCAAACCGATAAGGTGCACAATTGACTTGGTTCACCCAATGCGTCCAAAATTTGAGGGGAAATAATTCTCAAATTATAGTTATAGACTACAGTGACACGTTGATGTAGTTCTGTAATTCGTGTAAAACATTTTTCCACACTAAGGGAACGTTAAGGCCAGCTTACCATCCCTTCCACGCCAAAACAAAATCCAAAATAAAGGCACAAAGCAACAAATGGAATGAAAACTGAGGCAACAGATTTACATAATGTTTTACATCAATTCAACACCCATCATTGTCCACCTACCCCTATTTTTAAGGCTAAAAAAATGAAAATATTGATACTCTAACGGATTCCTTCGGATCGAGTTTTTCTTAGTCTGCCTCGGGTAACCCTAATGCTTTCTTCCATTATTGTCTCTTCAGAGGGAGGGTTCACATTTTCATTTGCAGAAGATGATGAAGGTGGTGCTGCTTCAATGTGCATTGGCTCTGCCTCTGCAGGTTGAGATTGGTTGGTCGATTCAGGTGTAGGATTAGACTTCTGGGTACCACTTGAATCCGCTACAGAGGAGGCTGCTTTAGGCTCTTGGGAAGAACCCAACTCCTCTGCAACTTCCTTCTGGTGCTGACTTGAAGATGAGCTAGAAGTAGGAGAAAGAGGAGCTTGTGGTTCTGTTGCAGCAGCTGGTTGGCGATTACCAGATGCAGGTTGTTGGGACCTCACAGTCGGTCGTTGCTGTAAATTGAAGAGACAGTTTTTTTTTGTAAGAGAAAGCTTACGAAGGAAATGAGATAAAGATGAAGAAGATGGCATTTGATGCAGCAAAGAAGAATCATAACAATATCCATCTTAATGACCAATCAAATATCAGTCTACAAATTGAAGTTGATTAATGATTAATCAACATACCAACATGGAATGGAATAGCAATACTAGTTATTTAGATTTTTTCTCCTTTCTTGTGCAAAAATGAGAGTAATCCTGGGCATAAGTTTCTTTACGTGTGCAAAATATTTCTCCTTCCTAGATTAATCATTTAACTGGCATTAGTTGAAATATGTGCTGACATGCACATCTACATATGCTTACTTACACATTAAAAAAACCTGAGAGGTTAAACAACAAAAGAATAAAGCGTCAGCAGCACAATCCAAGTCTGATGAATATAAGAAAGCTGATTTTTTTTTCTACATATGACTTCCAGTATAGTTAAGTAGTTAAGCCACACCTCAAATACGATAGTAAACAAACCAACACATGCTCATCAACTACCTGAGCAGGGCGAGGCGATGGAGTTGATTGTGCAGCAACATACTGCAAAATGTCAAATATTCTAGTCTGGCCATAACTAGCAGCTCTTTGCCAATACACAACTACAATATCTCCTGCCCTTGTCTTCAGTTCCAACAAGTTGCGATCAATTTCTGTCTCGTGTTTCGCAACATACGGTTTAAAGAAGGAATCATACACATATGTTGTTCCCTAACACAGGTAATAAATATTAAATTAAAGAACTCAAGCTGAAGAAAAGCAAATTATAAAGCAATATCAGATTCAAGCACAGTAATTAATTGTATACCTTTGTTTTCGGGTACCACAGATATATAAAAAATGCCAACTTAGCTTCACTATACATTGGGACCCTTCAAGAAGAATAACTCACTTATTTTAATAAGAAGGAAACAAGAAAGCATAATATACTTTTTTTTTTTTTCAATTACAAAAAGAACATAGCATTCTCTGCACACATCCAAAATATTATCCTCTACCATGATATAAAAGCATCACCAATTCGCTCACATACGGTCAAAAGAGCCACCAAAATCCTGCAACACAAGGGGAAAAGAAAGCAGGTATTGGTATTTATGAACAGCTATTTATAAGTTTCGCACAGATGATCAATGTGCAACATACCAATACTGGCACCAAAAGCGAAGTTGTTCAATTTCTGGCTTATTCTTTTCAACTGTTTTATAGCATTCATAGGCTGGGTAGGCATAACCAAAAACCATCCTGCCAACACATAGATGAAAATATAAAATTATTAAAGCTCAAAAAATACGGCATAAACCCGCCATGTAAGAACAGTTAGAATATCATAAAACATACACAAGTCCCCTGGTAAGAAAGGATCCTATCATTTTGTATTCCTGGCATAGAAAAGAAAAGACAACCAGTTAAGCCAAACAGGATAGCTTCCAAGAAACTGAAACTGAAGAGGAGTTATAGATGTGAAAAATTAAGCACAGCAAATTAAGCTTGCTTTAATGTGAGAAAACATGAAAAAAAAAAATTGGATTCGAACGAATATGACAGAGGCTTATGCATAAAATTAGGATCACTATGAGTTTCTCTATATTCATTAAAGGAATATTTAGATAATGTAAGGCTTCTTTTCTTACAAGAAAAAACGAGGAGAGTCTAACCCCCTATCTTTCTGAAATGCAAATTGAAACCAAAATCAAACGAGGTTCATGATGAATTCGATTATATCCAAAAGGTTCGATGCTCGTGAAAATAACAAACATATTGATATCTTTTTACCTATTTGTACTTGAGACAAACGCAATTCATTTTAGGTCTGCTTTCGAAAACGAAAATCACCTAAATTAGGGCGAAGCAATGGCGAGTAAAACAAAGATCGGTTTCGAAAATCAAACTAAAGATAAAAATAAAAAAACGACACTAGTAATAATAAGGCAGTAAATAAACCCGTTCAATTTAATTTACACATCGCAAAATGAAACAGGATAGGAACTGGGAGAAATGAAAATACCTGTTTAGTGTAAGAGAAAGAAGCAACTATAGTATAAATCCAAAACGAGAGGAATTTCCTGGTTCAGCGCCGGCGAAGAGGGAAATCGGCGGCGCGGAAATGGCACCGCGAGCCGTTAAGTTGTCGGCGAGAGAGATAGAGAGAGAGAGAGAGAGGGAAAATGGGTAGAGGAAGAAGAGTGAGTGTAAAGAACACAAAGTCAGAAGAGAAGCGAGAAGAAGCAAAAAAAAGAAAAAAAGAGAGAATCGCAAAACGAAACTTGGAAATGGAGCCGTTTAAATTGTATGTTTGTTGTTACGGCTTTGTATTCCTATTATCGCTAATCGCTATACCCCACACTCTTGTTAGTAGTTAGTAGTTACTACTAGTTATTTATTAAACTTAATAATCCAGCAAACCCAACTTAACCTATCACAGTGTCAGTGTGGTCTTTTTAGTTTTTACACATCGGTCAACCCTTCGCAGAAAATTTTAATTTTGAAACTTTAATTAATAATATATTATTAGAAAATTGGGAATTTGGTGGCAAGAAAGTTCACGGTCTCTGGTTCTGGTGGTGTGTTGCAGTTGCAGATCAGATCATCCACGATTACTATTGTAAGGCTAAAAAACAAAATGCAAATTAACTTGGGCATTCATGTGCCGATTCGCGAATCAACTTTATACAATTTAGTATCTTCTAAAAATTATTATTACCGAAAAAAGAAATCCGCATGAAATGTGCATTTATTTACTTAATTAACTAGCTTTACCACATTCGTTATCTATAGAATATATAGTTTACTTTATAGGAGTATTTTGATATTTAGTTCAAATATAAAAAAATTTAAATTACAGTAAATTATAAATAAAATATGAATAATTAAATTATAAAAATAATATTTATAAAAAAAGTATACACAATTAATTTAGAACATTGAAATTTTAAATTCAAAAAAGATCAACTAACAATAATATTACTTTTAACCTCCAAAAAAAAAAAAATATAATGTACTTTGTAGAGACGGGGCAAGATTTGTCTTTTGATTCTCAGTCAAGGATCTTGGAGTTATGGATAACGATCAAATATAAGCAATTCACGAGGTGGGGGCATCATAAATAACACATTAGGAACATTTGGTAAAGGATAAAAAAAAAATTACCTAAGAATTTGGTGGAAAAATAAATTTTTTGAAAATATTATCAAAAATTTGTTTGGTAGCCCAAAATATTTCTGAGAAATTTGAATCAGGTTTCCTGATACTATATTTGATGGTAAAATATTACTGAATATATGAAGTAATTTTACGAAAATAACCTCTGCGGCTTTCATCTTTCTTATTGTCCTCCACTTTGAGTTCCTTATCTTCCTTCAATTTTTTCTCTTTCCTCTGAGTCTTTCATGTCCTTTCTCTTATTTTTCTTCCTCTTCTCTCCCATGGCACGCACCATCGACGCTACCTTCTTCTCGGCAGTCTCCGTCTCCAGAAAGTCGCTTTCTTGGGAGATGATTTGAAGACTCTATCCAAAAACACAACGAGATTTGATCTATCAAAACTCACGCTAAATGAAGAAGAATAATTATATGATGGGGAAGGTTTCGTTTTGGAGTGAGTCCCTTTCTGTTCGTTTTCTTAGAAATCAAATTAATAGTTATTAGTTGATATAATTTATTTTTATTAGTTTAATTTCAATATAATAATAATGAAAATGGTTGTACAGGATTGTAGATATACCCTCCCTCTTAATAATTTGAATTTTTTTTTCATTAGAAAATAATTTGATTTCTAAAGAAGAAATATTTTCTCTTTTCGTTAATGTTTCTTGGTGAAGTGTTTGGAAAAGCTTCCAATTTTTTTTAAGGAAATTATATAATTCATGCCAACTATATTTATTACTAGTCAAAATAAAAAAAAGTTTACTTTGCTATCAATTTTAATTTTTAATTCTCTGAACTTTTTAATTACCTAAACAACCCCTTATGTTTATCTCTCTCTATATATGATGACAAAACTTTCAATATGAACTATTTGTGGTGTAGAGCCACTAATGTATTCCATAGAAAGTAAAATATATCAATCTAGCGGTACTTTCAGTAAATGGTATGGAGCAAGGATCTGTTAGAGCTTCCCAAGTGCTAAGCAAATAAATTGCAATTGGGGGAATGTATTTGGTTATTCTGGCTCAATGTTTAGGCAGAGCAACAACTCATGAAGTTGAATAGATTATATGTATCCCTTCAATAGAAAAGGAGGGTATTCAGAAAGAAGAGGAAACTCTCCAAGCATGGAAGAGAGAATAAGGAGGGAAACAGAGTTGTACCACTTGTAACATGGCCTTGTCCTTGGGACAAGGTGCCTTGCAGCCATTATCACTGCACAATGGCTATTGCCAAGGAAACACGGACACTTGTAAAAATAGGAAGAATCGGGTCCGACACGCTCCGACATGGTGTCGGACACGCGGTTGACTTTTTCCGACACGTTGACCATTCCGACACGCGAATTTGACCGTGTCCGACACGGTCAAATAGCATTTTCGTAATTTGTTTTAATTTTTTTTTTAATTTTCTTTTAAAAAATTTATTTTTTTAAAGTTAAAATATATTAATAAAGCTTCCACCTGATCATATCAATTTTATCTTTTGTCTTTTTTCCCCTTAAGTAAATAAGATATCATCTCAGCATCATTGTTGTCAATTTCTATCACGCTCTTGTTGTATCTTCTTCTCTCTGATCTCTCTCTAATATGATTTGATCTCTCTATCTGATATTATATCTCTCTCTCATCCCAGATTTTATTTTTTTTAGTAAAGCTTCCATCTTTATAACGTGTTGATGGATATTAGTAATTTAGTTCATTTTTTGTTAAATTATTAAATATTAAATAAAATATACACTATATAAATTAAAAATATTATTTAATATTAAAACGTGTCCCAACGTGTCGGAATCTATAATTTTTTAGGATTGACATGTCGGAGTGTCATGTCGTGTCGTGTCACGTGTCGCGTGTCGTATCGGTGCTACATAGGTTGTTGCGCAGGGAAAAAATGGTACTATGTGATGAGATTTTATAGCTCACCATGCGATGCCCTCTAAAAAGTTCTAGATGTGGACTATTATCATTGGGTCCCACTTATTGGGCCTAAAAAGGCCGGCCTGAACCCAATAATTTTTTATTTTTATTTTTGGTGAGGACCTTAACCCAATAATTTATTTTCTCTAAGAATTTAAATTTTTTAAAAAAACTATTTTGTTAATTTTAATTAAAGCTTAATGTTTCTACAGTGAATGTAGATAAGTTATCTACATTTACTCTCAAAACGACGTCGTTTTGCGTTGAAAAATTAAAAAAGTATAATAAAAAAGACTATTATAACCTTAAAATAAATTATAATTACAAAAATACCTTGATTTCTGCCTTAAAATGACGTCATTTTGGGTTCAATGTAGGTAAGTTATCTACATTGACCGTAGAAAAAGCAAATCCTTTAATTGAATGCATTTATATAAATAATAAACTAACCATATAAAAAATTAAATAATAATATTATGCTTGTCTTAATAAATTCTTAAGCATGATTATAATTAATTTTTTATTTATTTTCTTGTATTTATTTTCTTTTATTTAATTATTTTTTTTAGAGGGAGGATCTCTTGACTCCGATATATGATTAAGAGCCTATTTTGACCAACAACAAAAAAAGAGAGTATGTTTGGATGGATTTTCAAAAAAAGTATTTTTTATACCTTATTTATTTTAGAAGTATTTTTTTATAAAAGCTAAAGCTATTTAGAGTTTTTTTAAAATATTTGGTTTTTGAAAAAAAAAATGACTTTTGACTTATGCATTTTTTAGAAGTTAAAATTTTTTGCTTTCAAAAACAGGAAGTTTTGGTTTTTTTTTGTGACTTCTGCTCTTTTTAAAAACAGGCATTCAAATAGATTTTTTTTAAGAAATGTTTTTTTTTTCCCTAAAAAAAATAGCTTTTGGAGGTGGAAAACTCCATCCAAACGGCGCTAAGAAATCTTATTCTTATCTCAACCATTAATTTTTGTTTATCTGACAATTTTAATTTATTAAATTATATTTATTATTCAATTATTAATTTTAAATAAACTATAATTATTAGATGAACGAAAATCATCGTTGAAATGAAAAATAAGAGTTATTAATCATACTCTGAAATCAAAAGATCCCACCTTTATTTTTATATTATAACTGATCTAATACATTTCAATAATGTCACCAAAAAAAAATTACAAAAACATCTACGAATCTCTTGAGGGGGCGTTTGGTTGAGGAGAAATTTTATGAATGATAGGAAAATGTTATACACAGGGAAATGGTTGGAAAGTAAGATAGGTAGGAAAATGTATAAAAAAAATTGTTTGGTTGGGAAAAATTTTACCGGGAAAATTAGGTAACTTTTATTAAATCTATGTTTGGTTGTAAATAAAATATAGATGGAAAAATAAGTTAGTTTTACGAAAATAACCCTGTATTTAAATTTTTTTTACGGTGGCCGTTGTACACACGCAGTATGAGCAAAAAAATTAGTCAATGTAATTTCTAGTATTTAAAAGAAAGGATAGAGCCTCATTAACAGCTTATACACATTTTATAAGTTGCCATATGAACTGTTGCAATCTATGTTTTCAAAAAAATTGGACAGTTTCAGCAGCCCCCCCTTTTTTGTCTGGGGTTCGAACCAGTGTTAAAATTTTGGGGTCTGGTAAATAAATTTCATTTTCCCTTATCAAAATGAAATTGACCATTGCACTTTTTTATTTTATTTTCTCGTTTAATGTTAAACGGGTTTCAGCTTTTCCCATGTGAGCCTTTTATCCCAGTCAATTGTATATTAGTATTGAATGCACAATCATCAATCATCTCAGCAAATCGTTGGGGTTGTGTACAGTACGTGTATCAGTAATTTTGTGAATCTGCAATACAACCAATGTAGCTGAAAGAGACCATTACAAATTTACAACCACTTTTGTTTGGCTAATTAAGATTATTTGGAATTTCGTGATGTAAAGTGCAGGCAGCAGGCAGTGTTTGTGATTCATATGATTAGTACAATTCATAGGCACTGTTACATAAAGGATTAAGAAACATAAATCATCAACCTCTTCATTAATAGCAGCTGATTCAAATGCAGTATACAGACGAGAGTCTGCACAATTAAATACTATGATACTGTTTTATGTTGATAACCATTTAACTCAAATCCAATATGAAGCTGTATTAACATTTCAGTTCAGACAGTCAATGGAGAAGTGATCATAACCTGGTTAACATCTCACATTTATATTAAATAACAGAGTTACAAGTCATCATCATATTCATTACATTATTACTGCATATACAATGGATTGCACTTAACAAATGTGATTAATAAAATTGTTGTCATATTCATTACATCATTACTGCAGATTACAGTCAAATAGACCATAACATTCATCATTGTCCCCTTTCCATCATTCAATTTATAAGAAGCTCACAAATCTTCAATTCCTGTTCGAAGTCCATTGCACAAAAAACTTTCGATCTAAGCAAGTCAAATTCAGGCTATCTGATGCAATCCTCATTACCCTTGAAAGGAAGCACTCCAATTTCCTCCACATTGTTTGACTATGGAGCCCATGTAGCATCACCAAAACACTGTCCAACACAGATATAAAAAAACATATTGGTTGGTCATTTGAGTAAGACCAAAAAATTATATGTTGAATGCATATATGTTCAAAACAAGAGAGATTACAGACTTGAAAAAATCTTCCTTAACGTTTCACCATTACAAGGATAGCAGCTATTAACACTTTACCAAACCCCATCACCATTAACGAAGTAACTTGAAAAGTGAATCCGAACTTCAGAAATGGCTTTAGGAAAGGCAACCAATTGATATCATCATTAACAAAATTACATTTCCTACAACAAATCCAGACAGCAAATCCAGACCTTCCAGCCTCATGCAAAGGAATATTAAGCTTCCATAAAATCCATTAATATGCCTAGCATATGTACCATTTCTAGAAAAGGCACAAGCAAGCACTTCCAACGAATAAAAGGCAAGTAAATTAAAGATAAGATTGGCATTATTCTAAGAACAAAGAAGACACGTCTAGTAAAGTGAATGATTTGAAACTATGTCTTAATGAAAGACCAACTTGTTAAACAAATATCACCATCACTGTAAGAATTTACTCAGCAGTCAAAAGTATAAGAGGATCCAAATTGTTAGCCGTCAAGGGAGATGAAACAGAAAAATAAAAAATCCATCTTTCCCAATTCTCAAACAAAAAATGGTCAACATGTTTCCCCCAAACTTCTCTCAAAATCTCTCAATAAATCAAACAACAACGCAGGCAGCAACCAGCAAACAAAGTACAGCTAGAGCAACATTGCATTTCGCCATACAATCAATGCCCACGAACCTTACTAATTGAGGGCAAT